TGCTATACAATTCTCCAAAAAACGCCTTGCTTCAGGCCAGTTGCAGCTTGACAAAATGACTCGAATGTCGAAACATGTCCGCTTCTCTTGAGCAGATGCAGTAGTTCAAGGGCCGAAACCAGCCCAACATGGTGCCAACTGTTGCAATCTTTTTTGTTTAGGATAAAGTTTAGGACTATAGGAAGGATCTTGTGGTACTGGAGTGACAGCATGCAATTTCGGGCAACTTCACTCTGGCGCTGAAAACGTATGGAAGTGATGCTTTCAAACGTATCTGATATCGAATCATCAAGAGGCATTTCATCCTACAAAAAGCACATGGCCTCTGGAATCATAAGAGCTACGTCAGTTGGCTTCTCCTGTGAGCTAAAAGCTGCAATGAATGGTATGCTGGATGAATGTTTTATTGGTTTTATTGATATGATTATGATAAATCTGATTGCGACATTTTGACTTGGCATCCAATTCTGCGCACGAACGGAGAGCAACCTGCAATCTCTGCAAGATCATACAGAGGTGCAAACAGCGTTGTGTTTTGCACTGCGGTGCCCCTGCTTGAGATTGACACACTGCCGAAAACTGCATCAAAATCCGTGAATATTGTCTGCCTTGCAGTGCAAGCGTGGGTCTGGAATGAAGAGCAGGAAAGACTTTGATTCTTTGTGTCAGGCTCGCCTTTGCCACCAACATAGTGTACAATAATCAGATAGAATCAGTGTACAAGGTGTAATGAATTCTGGCCATTCACTGACCCACCCAAAGGCACATCAAAAGCAGAGACCACAGGCTGAGTTTCTCAGACAAAGTGGTGCGTAACTGGCAAAAGCATCAGCGAATCGAAGCGGAGGTCTCCAAAGTATGAGGCAGCAACTCGAAGAAAATGATCTATGCGGGTTACGTTGAGAATTGCCACTTATACAATACTTGCACAATGCCAAATACAGTATTTACAATATCCTAGTAAATATGCATGTGCTCCCCAAAATGGACAGAATGATCCTCTGCTTTCCAGTGGTTGCCCGACATGTGCTGTGAAAATGTTCGGACTTCTCTGATGAATTGCCATTTGTTCCATGTCGTTTCCCTCTTGTTGATGGTTCCCATAGACATGCAGTCTCATACAGCCCACATCACAGCCAGCATTCAGCCAGCTCAAAATACCTCATAGGGATCGTGCTCCGCATCTTAGAAAATTTAATTTTTCAACTCTACTTTTGGCTCGTCGTGGCGCTTAGTTCTCCTCCCGAATTCTCTGCAGAGTACCCGTCCAAAGAGTGCATGCATGCACCTGCTGGGCACACATTTAGACATGTAACTACCTGCGTAGACGCGCACGCCTTTGCTTGTAACTACAGCATTTACACTACATACACATCTACAGTTCTATGACCATGCGCATGGTCTGTAAGTACCTCCATAACCCTCTTCAATCTTTGGAAATAGAGCTGCACACGCATATCACACACACACACACACACGCACACACACACACATATATATACACATAATATCATACATATACAATCATATATATGTAATTATACATGCATATATACTATACATGTATACGCGACGTCGGTGACAGGTCAGTAAATCATCTTGTCTTGACTTCTATTCTGTTCTGCTTTGTCCTCTTGTGCTGCGCTGTGCTGTTGAATCGTTATTTCTGAATGATAATGTGCGCGTTGTTGGTTGTCCCGCATTGTGTTTTGTTGCATCTTATTCTACTATTAGCGCGCGTCCTGGTTACCACCCCGTACCCATGTGCATAAGCTAAAACCGCAGTCAATCCCTTCCGGTACCATATGAATCTGCTTTTCCAAGATGTTGTCCTGTGAATTTGTTTATAAGATTTTGTGGCTATTCATTTTGCTGACATCGTAGTGTCTAGGCGATTACATCTATAGAGGATACACGTTTTCAGGATAAAAACGTTGTGGTTCCACAGTGCCACGGAGACGAACAATTTTGATAAAGTCCATATCGTGAAAACTTCATTTTGGAACTGCGTTTTGCAGTGTATTTTGCTCCGTGACATGTTCATGCATGGAATCAAGCATTGCCTGACATATTTTGAGTATGTCCATGTATGTCCGTATAAGGTCAGCAAGCCCTGATCATTTTCATTTGTGTAATCGTAGTCAAGTTGGAAACACAGGGTGGTAACTAGGACCCATTCCTATTATTACGCACAGATTTGGTGTTTGCCTGGACTGCAACAATGAGGATGCCCTGCTGTCGAACATGAGAAGAGAAATTGCAGAAAATACTGCGTATACGCAGTGTGTTCTGGTTTAGGATTCAGAGCTTTCAGGCTTTTAGGGTTTTAGATGGTTTTAGGGTTTAGGATTCGTCATCTGGGAAATACAAAAATACTAGCCCTGCGCAGGTTTTTGAGCATGTCGAAGGGTTATATTTGAACACCATTCTAACCTTGCGGGCAAACCATAGGGTATCATAGGGTCTTGCCGTATTATTACAATACCCAGTCGACTGAGGTTCTCTCTATGTGATTATCCTTGAGGTTGTATTTTTGTGAGACCTAGCGGAGCAAGGTGCCACCCCCAAATATATCCCATGCTTGAAAAATTGAGGGCGCACCTTCGAGATTTTTGAAAATAGTGACATCGTGAAAAAACAGCGAAAAGGCAATGAAAAAACGGCAAAATCAAGTTTGTGGAAAAAGCTCAAAAAAGCACATGGTTTTGCGATTTTGCGACCAATTTTTCTCATGAGTGTTCTCTGCTGATCTTACGGTGTGAAATTTTTGGATATTTTCAATGCATGAGTTTTTTGAGGCCTTTAGTCATTTAGGTCCTTTATTCAAACGGCCGCGTCGCCAAATTTGTCCTTTGGGCTGACTGGGATATATCAGGCAGTCTTGTCGTGGCACGCAGTGTTGTGATGTTAAACCATTTTTCTCTGGTTAAAGAATAAACTGAAACATATGATACAACTGAAAAGTTTATATTTGGGTGCATATTTTTGTATGTTTGTTTGTTTGTTTGTTTGTTTCTCTTTCTCCATCGCCATCTCCAGGAGTCTAGCCAAAGGCTAAAGGCAAGCGAAGCCCAGTGAGTTTTTTTCGTCTTTCAATCCGGGGCACTTTTCCTTCCTATTTGCTGCATTTTGGAGCTAAAAATTCTCATTTGTGTTTTTTTTAATCGGGTTTTTCAGGGTGTTCATCGATTTCTCGTTGGTTTCATCACTTTTTCCATGGTGTTCATTATTTTTTTCGGTTGTTTTTAATTGGTTTCCCAAAGGTTTTCATCGGTTTTATCCAGGGATTCCATTTTTTTCCATTGCTTTAATCGTAATCGGTTTCTCAAAGGTCCCAGCCGGGTTTTTATTTTTTCCTGTTGTTCTCAAGCATTGTCAATGGGTTTTCACCGATTTTTCAATGTTTTCTATCGATTTTTCTGTGGTTGTTATCATTTTTCCGATTGTTTTCATCCAAAGTTTCTAGCTTGTTTTTAGGCACCTAATTTCACTGGATGTGATCTAAGTGTTTGTAATATCATGTGATATCTATTAAGCTGGTTGAGGGCTTCGCATGGCTTAACCATTAGAGTTGGTGTACAGGTCAATTAGGGTTGGTTTAGGGCCTGTTTGGGGTTGGTTTAAAGTTTTATTGAGGGTTGGATTTGGTCCTTAGGTTTCCTTTAAGATACGATGCGTGCAAATTCTCCTGGAGGCCGGGATAGAATTGATTCCCCGGATCTCCTTTGCCATATTTGCCAAACGAACATGATGACAAAAGTGTGCAGCTTGCGCACGCCTGTTCTAGACACACATGACATATAATATATATATATATATACATATAATCATATATACAATGAATTTCAAGCAACATCATGGCATCATGCATCAGTGCCGTCAGCACTCTGGTACATTGTTTCCCCCGGAACGTCCAGTCACGGCTGTTTAAGGACCAGTTGCAAAATTGACGTCTGCAAAGACAAGCAAATTCATGCAAATTCATCGGTGGTTTCGCGGTCTGTTGAGATTGAACAAACACAGCCATCAATATACATATAGATTACTAACGTAGCTATATTCATGAATGCATGAATATTTTGCGTAGATATATGTAAATAATTACATACATATAATTGACGATAATATATATATATATAGATATTTACACAGTGATGTATACTCATATATCATCCTTGTACAGACTAAAGCAACGCAAAACGCCTTCTCAACATGCAGTTGAACACGATGCCCAGAGAACTTTGTGCCAAGAACTGCCGTATCGGAGATGATCGGAGATGATATGCCAGGGCATGCCAGAACTCATCGAAATGCTGAGCACCGAAGACCAAAAAGTGCCAAGTAGCAAAATTGCCGGGCGGTATCATCTTTGGGTGTTCACGGCTTGTCAGCCACAATCATTTTTCACACAGAGGTAACACATGGTGTGTGTGTGTGACTAGCATATGTGTGACTATGAAAACGATTGAAAACATACATCGCCTGGCTCATGCCCTGGCAATTCATCGTGGAAAACTGATTCGAAAACTGATGACCGGTCTGTTTTAAACTTAAACACTTCAACTCCTGCATGGTCCAGATGGCACTTTTTTTGACACAAAAAAAACAGGGGAATCGCCTTCTACCAAAACGCTGATCGCCTCGGCCTAGACCTGGGGAATCCCACGGAAGCAACGAAAGACGACAGTTGAATGCTTGGAGCAAAAAAAGGCGGATCAATGGCATGCTTAGTCCGAAATGGATCATGATTTTAATTAATATTTTAATTCATATTTTAATGAAGGTGCATTTTGATGAATTTTGCCTATTTTGCCAGAGGGCGAGAACAAACTCAGTTTACTCAAGGCCGATGGACAACATTGGACAACCCTCACAGCATTTTCCAATGAAGGGAACCTATCGAGGGAAAATTGGCTGGGATGACACTGATGACACTGACACCGTGCATTCAAAGGATCTGCCAGGCCATCGACCATTGACGGCGCCACCATAGGGGCCACTTATGAAGCCAACTGAACAGACACGCCAACGTGTTTGATGACAACAGCGAGGAATCCGCATGGATTGCGTGGGACGCCGTTGACGCGACCGCGGGCGTTCTCCAGAACCTCCTTGAAGGACACTGTGGCCTCAAGTCTCACCAAGTCTCACCAAGTCTGTGCAGTGCGTGTCCAGCAACTTCTACCCAGACCATTCACATGTTCCACATTGTTCCACAACCAATCTGTCCGAAATCCAAAATCTGTCCACTGAGTCTCTGCGTTTTGGCAATCGGCTCTGTGCAAAGCCCTTTTGAAGTACGTATCCTCTTTCCACTCTGGCCAAGCCCGGGCTTCACTTGAGGAAAGGGGGAAAGGGCCAGTGTTCAATGGGATCAAATTGAATATATCTTGTTATGCAAAATTCCGTCACATATACAGTCGACTCAGTCGATGCGCAAGAGAAACGTGGTGGGATGGTACAATTCTGAACATTGACAGTGATATGGCTATGGATCAATACCTATACATACCATTTTTAGGGGGATGAACATCCATTTACCAGCTAATTTTGATGTTCACCAGGGGGATAGGGTTTTGACCCATCCCCATCTTCTGATCGGAATCGGACAAGGTACGAAAGATGGCTGTGACTTGTCCTGCGGCCAAACTGTGAAGCTCACAGATTGATTCACCAAATCAGCGCTCACCTCCAGCCAATCACCCACGTCAAGCTCCTGCGTGCGAATTTTGCTGGTGCGGATAGGTGTTGTACGCCAGGTTACGCCATGAAAAAGCCCCCCTAAGGCCCTAAGGTTGCGGCGTATGAACCAGAAACAACAAGGGCCAACACATCAAAAAAATCAAGCACCGAAAAAAAAAGGAAGAAATGCGAATTGCACCCGAAGCGAGATGCCAAAAAACATGGTGTTTCGAAGGAAGATATTGGGAGGAACCAAGCGGTGGGCACAAGGAAACAACAATTGTGTAATCGCAAAGGAAAACAATCACGTTTATTCTTCAATAGTTTTTTTCCACGCACGTCTTCTACTTGACTGAATGATTGAAGATTCTCCTCAAATTATACATCCTCCTCGTGGCAACCAAAATTTCTAAAGCGTGCATCTGTGCAAGTTGCACTCGGAATATCTAGGCCATTCCGGTGTCAAACTCTCCAACTCTCCAACTCTACAGTAAATCTTTAACTCTCTAACTCTCTCACTCACTCACTCACTCACTCCCTCGCTCACTCACTCACTCACATACTACCTATCACTAAGTTCTTAGACTGAGACTCAAAGCCAACGGTATCCGGTTTTGGAATATTTTGCAAAATTCAGCGAGCACATGGATGCCATAAGGCATATGGGACATGATGTCTGCCAGTATGCTCATTGCTTCCCAGGGATCCTTCACTCTCCGACTGCATCGCACCACTTCGTCATGGACGCGGATGCAAATGCGGCCGGTGCGGTTGACGAAAACGGAAATGATCTTCTGAATGTTCCTTAGTCAAAGGCATCAAAAGCTGTAGATTGTCATTGCAAATCATAGCAGTTTCGGTGTAGAAACGATGCATTCCGAGGACGAAGGATAACATCTCAACATATCTCCAAATTTCATCAAATTCCTAGGCAAGGAAGAGGCTCCGCGTGCAAGGCAAGTCCGAGGACAGGATGAAACCAACGCCATCAGCACTGCACAACTCACCCTCCGTAAACTGCAAAGAGTAGCGTACAGTACCTGTCTTGCGGGTTGTGACGGGATATCCAGGACCGCTACAAAGTATACATCTCCTGATCTTGTCGAAAACAGTGAAGGAGTTAAGCCCGAAATTACAACGCAGCTTCCATTTTGCAAATAGGTGGCCATACCCGCTCTTTCTCTGTGATGATTCGGGTAACTGGGTGGTGGTAACAATGACAATGATATGCAATGATGATGAAAATGATGACAATGAAAACGACGATGCAGCCGACGATGCCAACGCCGACGACAAGACGTTGAATCAAAACATTGGATCCGGAAAACCTTAGAAGAACTCCTCTGAACATGAGAATGGTCTGCAAGGAAGTAGACAAACATGCGCCCCGCAGCATCTTTGCGTCACCGACATTTTTGTTGGGGATCGAGGCGTGCCAAAATGGCTTGTCAATATGTATCTAAATCATTCTAATCTATATGTGCCTTCATCTTCCAAAGGGCTTCAATTTTTCCGCTTGACTTGGGAAATCAACCTGATCGGATTCGGCAAAAAATGTGACACCAGGCGGAAACTGGGTACATTGATTTCCCCCATTCCTACACCCAAGAATCGCGGGCGGAAAAAAGGGCGCGAAATAAGCAGAAAACTACAAGGTAAAAAAGGAGGAAATACCCAAACAATCCCAAACTTGAAACACCCTTTCTGCCTTAAAAAACAACATAAGGCTCGGGCGGAAATTCCAAATGCAGGCGGAAAAAGCCGAGACAGATATTTCAGCTTGGCTTCGGGCTGTGGTTGCCTGAGAAAGATCCGCTCCAGGAATACCAGCTCTACTCTCTACATCAAACCAACTACTTTTAGAACTCGAGTTTGCTCGTATTTGTATGTATTTGTATCGTGCGCTCTTGGGAGCTCACTCCAGGAAATTTCGTGAAGTGATTACATTCACGACAAGCACCTTCGCATACCTTCGCATACCTTCGCATACCTTCGCATTTTTGCGACGTCCACGGTCATCAGGCTGAAGAAAGGGCAAGGGTAATGAGAACAGGCCTTTCGAGATAGATCCAAGTTGCTGAAAATCTTGTCATTTTCCATGTGGTGTGGCGTGATATGGTCTGATGCACCCTGATTCTATCTTATCTTTGAAAACCTACCACCGCAGTAGGAAGTCCGGAGGAAATCTCGCTGGAATCCAACACCGCAAGCCAGCCTTCAATGGGCAAAAGAACCATGCCACTCTGCCACTCCCCCACCGCACCTTGAAAGTGCACCTTGTTCTCCGACACAATGCTCAATCTGCCTGGCCACTGAATCCGTGCACGCTGCCAGCTTGCACTGGTCTGCTTGGAGGTTAGACTTCTCTTCCGCTTGTTACCAACCAAACATCAAATCACACGGTGCACTGATGCATTGAATGCAAGGTGTGCAAGAGTCTGCCTACGCTGTCTACCATCTATGTCGGCCTTTTACTGCAATTCAAATCAGCTGCCTTTGTTGTACTTCTTGGTGAAAGTGCGGGCATCAGAAGAGAGCATGCCCATGTTCGAATTCTTCCTGTGCAGGTTGACGATTTGCCAACAGTTTGCCACACTTCAACAAGTCTTCAATCGGACATGTTCCGACCAAGTCTAAGACTTTCCGAGCCGCTGGTGAAAGCGATGCGTCGTGCCCATAGGTGGGCCCTCTGGTGCCACCGTCGCCTGGTGTCCAGTCCTCATTTGCCGACAAGAATATGGGGCTCCTAAGGGCTCCTCATTTGGTGAGTGGATTCTTATGGATTCTTTGAATAGTTCTCTTGTGGCATCCATCCTTGGGTATTCTTGTGTCGTTTCTAGGATCGGAGTTCAGCCAATCAGTGTTGTGGAACATTGAGCCTCAAGACCAAAATCCGTCACTGCTGTCACTGATGATTGTTCCAAGGGTCGTCGACATGACCATAGGCAGCATGCCCATGCCCATGGACATTTCTTTTTGCCAGTCCATGGGCATGGGGTAAGGAACAGCTAAGAGCATGCCAGGCGTCGTGGCCTGTGGGATATCCTGTTGCATCTGCACAGGCACCATTGCCATTGGCTGCGTCTGAAGATGTGGCTGTTGCATCTGCAAAGGCAGAGGCTGCATAGGCTGCTGCAAAGGCTGAGTTGGCTGGATCTGCAGCTGAAACGAAGGAAGCTGCGCAGGCTGCCTTGTCGGAGCTTTCTCCCAGCGTTGCAAATATGTGCTCTGGTTCGGAGACCTTCGTGATTCTGATAATTCTTCAATCTTGGGAGACCATGTTCAACTCTGTGACCATGTCATTGAACAACTTGGTCACGGAATCAAAAAAACGTTGTCGCAAAAGCTACAACTGCAACAGTTGGGGCATTGCGGCATATCTTCCCGCATACTGCAACTTTTATTCCCCAGCTTGCTGCAATGTTTTTTTGGAAAGAATGAATTGGCTGGGGGAATTGCAGAACTTGAAAGGTTCGTGTCATAGAAACACATGGAAAGGTTGCAAGCATCTGAGTTGTCATGCCAAGACTAAAAAAGGCACCAGAATAAAACATCAAACGGACAACAAAATAAAGAGCCTCTGATCTACCTTGTTCAATTCTTCCTGAGGGGTGTCAACCCAACCTCGCTGCACGAGTTGAGGGCCATGAAAGGCCTAAATCCATCTAAATCCTAAATCTTCATCCGAACCATCTAACATATCTATACATATCTCAATATATCCCATCCTCTACGTTATTTGGGGCCAGCGCCATATGCGGACTCTGTGGAAACGAGGCATGCGACACCAGACTAACCAAGCCACCGACCCACCGGCATCTGAACACTCTGCACCGCCTCAACCTCAAACGGGGCCGCAGTCCGGGGCCACCGCGGCAGATGTCAGAATTCATCACATGTCCCAAGGAAGGGCCACCATGGGCCACCTTTCCCCCCGAAACAATCACTCTGGCAATGAAATGCAAAAAAAACAAATTAGGATAGCGATGGCGAACAGGATGATGATGTTTACCATAGTGGGGATGGTGCTGCTGTTGATGGGAATGCTGCTGGTGGCGGTGATGTTTTTGATGCTGCTGCAGGATGGAGGAGGAGGAGGTGGTGGGGACGGAGTGTTGCATGAGGGCCACTAAGGGCCGCTCCATCCAGATCATTTTCACAACATACGGCACATGATTCGTTGAGCTTGAAAACTCCATTCGGTTAATTATGGAATCGGCGAGACACCACAGACTGGCGCAGCCAGGTGCTTAGAATTATAGCCTTGGCTAAGAAACCTCGCCTTCCTTGAAAACTTTGTGTTCGCTGGTGCTGGATCGCTTGATTCACTTACAGTCTTACTTACAGTAGCTCTTTTGGATTCTTTTGGCGTTCGTCCAAGGCGCCTGTGGTGTTTGGTCTTCGTCGTCCGCTTGAAAATCTTCAAGAGTGGAATCCGGAGAGTCTGTAGCAGCAGTGCTCCAGGACCACTTGTCAAAGACAGTGCCTGCGCCTGACCGAGCAATGCAATGTAAGCTACAAAAAAGAAAACGTACGTCCTAACATATGTCATCATAATCTCGTTCTTATCTTTCTCTCTATGGTCGTCAACTTCGTGGTTGTTGGCGCGCTGATCATCGTCATCATCTTCATCTTCATCATCATCATCATCACCACCTTCACCAAATCAATCACTCACCACTAGTCAGCAACCATAGATCCTTCATCATCTATCAGTTCCCCCTTCACATTCACCACTTATCATGTACCCTCTGGTAATTTAACATAGCTATTGAAAATGGCCATTTATAGTGGATTTTCCCAATGAAAATGGTGATTTTCCATAGTTATGTTAGTTTACCAGAGGGTAATCTATCCATCTTCATCAACAAGAACAATTCAATAGAACAATAGCAACATTATCCTCGCCATCATCACCACTATCACCATCACAATCCTCGGCACCATCATCATCACCATGATTGTCACCGTTATCACAGTATCATCGTTCTCACTCTTATCACTCTTATCACCACGACCACCAGCAGCATCATCATCATCATCAACAACAACAACAAGATCATCATCATCATCATCAACAACAACAAGATCATCATCATCATCATCACCATCATCATCAACATCATCATCATCATCAACAACAACAAGATCATCATCATCAACATCATCATCATCAACAACAACAAGATCATCATCATCATCAACATCATCATCATCAACAACAAGAACAAGATCATCATCATCATCAACATCATCATCAACAACAACAAGATCATCATCATCATCAACATCATCATCATCATCAACAACAACAAGATCATCATCATCATCATCAACATCATCATCATCAACAACAACAAGATCATCATCATCATCATCAACATCATCATCATCATCATCAACAGCAACAACAAGATCATCATCATCATCAACATCATCATCATCATCAACAAGATCATCATCATCATCATCAACATCATCATCATCATCAACAACAACAAGATCATCATCATCATCATCATCATCACCATCATCATCAACATCATCATCATCATCAACATCATCATCATCATCAACAGCAACAACAAGATCATCATCACCATCATCATCATCATCATCATCATCAACAACAACAAGATCATCATCATCATCAACAACAACAAGATCATCATCATCATCATCATCAACAACAACAAGATCATCATCATCATCAACAACAACAACAAGATCATCATCATCATCATCAACAACAACAAGATCATCATCATCATCATCAACAACAAGATCATCATCATCATCATCATCAACAACAAGATCATCATCATCATCATCATCATCAACAACAACAACAACAACAACAAGAACAGCAGCAGCGGCACCGGTACCAGCAGCATGAGCATCTTTTCATTGTCGCCGCTCGGTTTGTGTACGTTCCAGGCGGTGCCAACTCCGCAGACTCCGGGTACGTGCACGAGGAGCATGTTTTGCAGGCTTGGCGATTAAAACACGAAAGACGAAACGCCAACGATCCTTGCATTTGAGGCAGTTGGAAATGCATAGTGTATGAGTGCTGAGGGCCAGTGATGGTGAGAAAAATGGGAATGATGTCCACAGTGGAGCTGACGGACATCGGTGGGAGGATGATTAGATTGCGATGATCATGTTTTTGATGATGACTATGACAGAGACGAAGCAGATGCCGATGACGACAGTGTTTTTTGAAAGTGTGACATGAGGATGCCGATCCCGACGATGACAGATGGTGCTGCTGCTGATGCCGCTGCTGCACCTGCTGATCCTGCTGATGATAAAGCTGGTGCTGCTGGCGCTGATGACGATGATGGTGATGATGATGGTGACGATGATGAGGATGCTGATGCTGATGCTCATGGTGCCGCTGCTGCTGCTGCTGCTGCCGCTGCTGTCGCCGCTGCTGCTGATGATGATGGTGGTGCTGATGCTCGTGATGATGCTGATGTTGGTGCTGATGCTGCTCGCACGCAAGACTCACTGTATTGTGCGAACTATGACAGCAGTTCCGCAAACGACAAATCCTCGGGTGTACTTAACAGAAGATGACGGAGGTGGAGCCGGACAACATGCTGCAGGTTGTGCATTTACCTGCGGATATCATGTGCACATCACATGGCGATTGTCCGCATATGTCCGGATCATATGGATCATGTCGAATGATTCGCACTTCACCAGTGACACTATCGGGCTACGGCGGCGGCCTGATGTCTTCGTTTGAGTCTTGTGATACAGGAGATCAGTCAGGTAGGACTCAGAGCTGCCCAAGCCGATGGGGTCCCACAGTAACTCATCACCCTTCGTCCTCGGCAGCTGCAACAATAGCTGCTGTAGCTTCACGGCACTAGCTACCAAGAAACGGAGGCCCACAGATTTGATCATCCTAAATACACATACACATATGCAGTCATATACATATAGTCATACAGTCATACATATAAAATTCTAATAGATTTGTAGAACTGAGAGAAATACTATCACGTAGCTATTAATATCATTATTATTACGATTGGTGCTGTTATTAATATTACTATTTATTATTATTATTACTGTTATCTTGCAAATGTAAAGATAAAGCCCACGCGAGGCGCGGCGGAAATCTCCAGCAAACAAGAAGGCTATACTATGGGAGTGAAGAACACATTTCCCTATAGGAGTTGAGCTGGAGCATCAAAGATTTGGAACTCTTTTGTGAATTCGTCCTCACCTCTTCTGACCCCTTCTCAACTCGTCAAATTCTTCTCAACTGCTGTGACCCCTTCTCAGCTCTTCTCAACTCCTGTGACATCTTCTCAACTCTTCCCACCTTTTCTCAATTCTTCTCACTTCTTCTCCACTCTTCTCAACTCTTTTCAACCTGTCTCACCTTTTCTCACTTCTTTTCATCTCTTCCCAACCTTTCCCACCTCTTCCCACTCCCTTCCCACCACTTCTCATCTCAACCCGTTTTTCGCATCTTCTCAACGGTTCTCACTTTTCTCAGCTCACTGACGTCGCAAGTTCTAAGGATTCTAAGGCTTAAATCTCACCCTGCAGCAGTTCCACTGCAACCTAACAAAAGTGAGTTGCCAAACGCCATGGCATCGCCTCTTCTCTCCTCTACTTCTGTTCTGAGCTACTTCTCTACTTCAGGACCAGCCAACTAGACTTAAGACTTCTTGGCAACTGCTAGTGTTCACTTTCCATAACTCCGAGTTCCCCTACGACGCTTCACATGATGCATATATAAATGTACATGACATAATGTATAGCATAAGTGTGTGTGTGTGTAAATGAGTATATATTTATATCATAGTATGTATGTCTATCTATTTACGATACTTACAAATATACACGCACACACACACATATATATAGTATATCAATCAAAAAGGAATTAAACTCCCTTACATAAAACATTTCATACTTTGTAAAAACTGAAAAACATTATACACACATATAATACATATATATAATATACATACATCTAAATACATAAATACATGAACAAAATATCTAAATGCAAAATCAACTAAGTTAATAACTGACATAAATAAATAACTATTCGATCTGATTTGCCCCTGGCATGCTGAGTTGCTCCGAAATCTTCACTTCTGGGGCAGTGGTCACAGGTGCTGCTTTGGGTGCGGGGGGCCAAGCAGGAAAGTTGTCCTTAGAATCCAAGGAATTTGGCAGTGCTTGAGCTTGTTCAGCTTGTTCAAGGACAGTCATGGACCATGCTGAAGCGACTTGGTGTTAGAGAAGCTTCTGGTGCCGCAGCATGGGGTTTGTGCTGCAAAACAATATCTTTAGGCTGTTATTAACAGGATGGTCGCAAATCATCTGAAATAAGTGCAATACCTCCCACTGACATGAAACATCATGAAACCTAACATGTTTGATTCTGGAGAAAAAAACATGAAACATCAGTGCTAAGGATGCAAGATGATGCAAGAATTGCAGGTGGCATGGTGTTGACCGGACTAAAGTGCGAATGCTTTGGGCTCAGCGTCTTCATCGTCCGTAGTGATGTCTGCCCACAGCTGTCGGCCACTCCTTGCAGGTTTTGGAGCCTCGGGCTGCTTCTGGGCCAGTCCTGGATCACTTGGAGACAACCGACATGTCAATTCATATCACGTCATGTGTCCAAAGTGTATCACTTTCTGGCAATGATATCGCCCTGCGCATGCCAACTCCTTGCGACGAACAAGAGCGTCCCACAGAAACCAAGCCCAACATTTTCCGAAGAGATACTCATCACAAAACCGATCCAGTTGCACAGTCCAGGTCACGCTGTATCTGCAAACGGCTCACTAAGATTAGGCCGTACGCGTTTCCCTGAACCTTTCCGCTTGACTCTGCGATGTCCGGTTCTCGGATGTTCTCGGGTTCTCAGGCTGCATGCGTGAAATTCATCGGTGAATTTCCAAAAATATTGGCAGCGACACAACGCGATAGCAAAAAATGGCAAACACATCGCACAGTTGACCTGGTCCGACCTGGGCTGCGGGACAGTCCTCGTTTCTTGGCCATGAGTGCCATGGAACGAGCTGCGCATGGAGCAAGGTCATCGTCGCTGAGGTCGCTCAGCGGAGCCATCAAATCCAGGTCATCTGCCGCGCGGAAGAAAGTAGGGCGCTCCATCTGGAACCTTGGTGCAGCGATTCAGATTCGGGTGGAATCTATCCATGTCTGTCCAAACATATCCAAACACTTTCAGAAATCAAGTGTCAATGCAGGATAGCCATAGCCCGTTGCGGCATTCAAAGGGTAGGACAGTGTAAGCGTTCTGACTCCCCAGCGCTTAAATTACTAAGAGCATTTGAGGTCTTCGACACATGTGTTTGACTGAGACACTCTACAGACATCTACAGACCCTTTTTTTGGCACCCAAGGACCTGCTCCTGCTTCAGCGTACTTCACGGACGAGTTCCCAAAAAGGGCCGAAAATCTCAAATGGCTGCGAGGTTCCAGCAGATCGACCACAACCAGTCTCTTCTGTGAGAACAAGTGCACTCATTGGAAGGTATCCCACCAACCATTCAACAAATAAAAAAAATAAAATAACATAAATTATCATTTATTATTTCCACTCGTTTTCAGGTACACATACTCATTATCAGGGGACATCAGGGACTAGTCTAAGTCTTGACTTTATACCTTGGTTTGGGGATAAACTAGTCTAAGTCTGGACTTTATACCTTGGTTTGGGGATAAGCCATGACCACCAATGAGCAGGATTTGGGCTCAGAGGCACCAGGGGTTGGCTCGCTGCAGCCATGGGGAAAAAGGAGAAGAAACAAAAGAAGGACCCTGCCCACCAGCCTTTTGGACTGCATAGATGTCACACTGGTCACTCTGGGCACTCTATGAACTCTGGGCACTCTGGGCACTCTGGTCACCCTGGTCACTCTGGTCACTCTGGTCACTCTGGTCACTCTGGTCACTCTGGTCACTTTGGTCACTGTGGTCACTGTGGTCACCTTGGTCACTCTGGTCACTCTGGTCACCGAGCTTCTTCTTCAGGACCCGGGCCGATGCTTGCCGTTTCTTCGAGTCTGTCGACACCATTTCCATCCTGAGGCACGCGCAAAGGGCTTCAAAGTTTCACAAAATGGATGTGCGCAGCACCAGGCGAGGGATAAGAACCATCCCCTGGTGACTCCTATACCAAGATCTTCACACAAGTGATCTGTGTTGTCCACCGGTGGCCTCCGGTTCACCTTCAAGATCGTTCACGAGCAGGCAGCAACATGCAGCATACCTCTAAGAAGCCAGCACATTCTCTTTCGTTTTCGTCTCCAGATTGGCTTCCCGGGCCCTTAGCCAGCGTGATGCGTGATGCGTGAAGCTCAGGAATTGACGGCAAGCAGCGGCAAGCACTAGTGACTGCTAGTGCAAAGGCTCCAGCCAATCTCTCAGGATGGAAATCGCATTTCGATCTTCCTGGAATCGAGCATGAAGAGATACCATACACAGCCACAGGGCCATACAATACAAAACACTGTGCTTGCATGTGTTCTGTGCTGCCTTCGCTCGTTTCTCATTTTCATCGTTTGTGAGTCTTAGTGCTTTCATCATATCCTCACAACATCTGTAACAGGAGATTGGTCGAAAGACTTGCTTGACCCTCGTTGCTCAATCCCACTTCAAAGATATCTCTCTGTGCGACCTGCTCTTGTCGTTCGATGTCATCAATTCTCTTGCCTCAGAGACAACTTCGTCCTTCAGCGCAGTGTAGCTCCAGGAGGGAACAATGCACTTTGGGACCATGAAATGATGTCATCAGTTGTCATTTTTTGTCAAATCAAGTCACCAAGCTCTCTCACTGCCTAGGATGATATCAGTTTGGCGGTGCACCAGTTATATAATCAGAACAAGGGCACTTTTTTTCAAGGGCTCTCTTTGATCAAACACCTGGCTACACTACACTGGATGGTGGAAACAGCTTCACAGGACCAGTTGATCAATGACAAGGTTTTAAGCGGATGCCGTTGGAATCGACTAGGTCGATGACACACCACTGTTCGAATGTGCCGCTTCCTGCCCGCGAGCGCACTTCATGCAATATTTCGGAATAGATACTGCATCGCAATACGATGCAGCAAAAGAAACATATGACATGGACTAGCTACAGCATCCTTGATATACATTGATATACGGCATAATCGCCGTGAAACTGTGACTTTGGAGAACTGGGTTTAATTTCATCATCTGCAGATGATTGTTTCACTGATCCCCAGCCCAAAAACTACCGCGGAAAAGAATCTCCTCCTGTTTTTGACTGGAAAATATGCTTCAAACTCTAAAATCCCTAGCTAGGCTTTCTGAAATTTGGTTGGGCCCCTGCAACTCATGGTTGTTTTATACATGGCTAAACCATTTCAGAACCATTTGAAAACCGTTTCAAACCTCTTTAAAATACATTGAAACAACATCGAACGCGCAAACAAAATCAAACAAGTACCAACGAGTCTCGAGGGTACCAGTACTTCAGCACGTGCCAAGCGATAAGAAGGCATCGATTCCTTCCTGTTTAAGGATGCAAGCTAAAGTTCTGCTTTCCATTTATGTGGGGGCGGAATCTCCCGTTCGATTTCATTTGCATTCATTTGCACTGGCGGTTTGCAGAGTCTTGGAGCTAAAATCTTTCGTTTGCATGGTGTTTGCAGTGTAGAACATATTTGCACAAGTGATTGTAGTTAAATTTCGTGCGTCTTTTCTCTTTATTCTCTTTGCACCGTGCTAGCACCGTGCTTGCAACAATTACACTAATCTCTCGGATATCTGAGCAGTGTTTTTATCTTTGTCTTTTGTTGATCAGTAGCATCAGTAGCAACAGTAGCAACCGTGCTGCCGTGCTGCAAATGCACCGGCCGAGCCCATGCCGATGATGTTTTGCTAAACGAATAACTACCGTTGCAAAAAAAAAAAATGTCCAATGTCCAAAGCCTACAAGGTGTAAGCCGAAACGAGAGTATGCCAACACCTACGCAGCCGTTCGGCCATCCGCATGGTAGCCTGCAGTATGGGGCACAACATTAACATGTCTTATGGAGTTCCCTGTTGATCTACTTTTCCTGTGCAAGGGAAGGGAAAATCTACTCACCTGACGGGGGTTTTGCAGCATTTGAAGTTTCGGTATGTTTCGATATGTGTTTTACAGTCTATTCATCACGTTTTCAATCTAGACCTTGTTGCGCGGCATTTGCAATGTTTTGGAGTTGGAGATCAACTTTTTGCTTTGGATTTTTGAATGTTTTGCCCTTGCTTCTTGCAATTGTTGCTGTGCATTTTTCATCATGTTTCCCAATTTTGTTTCTATATGTTTTTGTTTTGTCTGTCGCTTTCTTCTTGTCATTGTCGTCGTTGCTGTTGCTGTTGCTGTTGTTGTTGCTGCGGTAGTGTGGTTGTGGCCGTTGTTTTGAAGGTCCTCACCTCATGGGACCATTCTGCAAGGGATAGAGCCCCAGAGTCCCCAGAGCACCAAATCAGAGAAACGAAGCAAACAAACACATCAAAAATCATCAAAAGCAACACCCAAATCCAAATTGCTGCCCATTCCAGACTATCCAGACTCAAAAAAATCTGTGGAAGCATTGGCCCTCGGAGCCCATTGTGGCCACGCCTGTTCAGCGCATAGTCACGGTACTTGGTGGCTAGCTGATCAAGTTCAGGGTCCTCCCGAGCACCCAGGCTCAACGATCTGGGTAGGAAAAATGATGAAAATGACATGATGGGTAACATGAGCCGACATGAAGATCAGGTAGGGGACATTTCTGTAAATACTATCACCAGATACTATCACGATTAAGGATGGGTTGGCTACTTTGGCGATTGACCGCCAATGTGGGGCTGAATGAGTTGAATTTGTATTGACCGACTATCATGTGCATAGTGGCGAACCCGAAAAACATGTGGGGCTTTGTAAAACCCCCAAGCTCATTGAAATGTTCTTTTTTTTCACACGTTATCGTTTTTTCCAATTTATTGTATTTTTCCCAAGCGCTCACTTCACACCTTGATCAAAGAATTCACATGAGCAGGTAAAAGGAAAAGGAAAAGGAAGGGAAAGGTGGCGAAAAGACAGTGGCACTGTCTCGCACGGACCATTTTTGATGCCAAAAGTTATCGTTTTCGTTATCGTTTAGTCGTTCGTGAATCCTGTGTATGTTCCTCTTTTTCTGGAAATGGTATCATCAAAAACCAATGACCACCTACCAGGATCTACCACCTTCCTTGCGCAGAATCTGACACGCAGCGGGGCGTTCCTTTACAATAGACCAAAAAACATTGGATTCCAAATGTTTTAACACAGATCCAAAGAACAACCAACGTCAATGGCTCATGTGGGATCATGGAAGACTAAACGAATAGGCACCCCGGTGGTTAAAAAAAATCTCTTATGTGCAAATGGGAACGACGTACCCATAATTTGCCCTTGAAAGTGCGTCTCTGGACTCTGGAATTTGGTTTCTTCACATGGATCCATATGTTTTGCAGCACTGAGCCATTGTATTTGTTCTCCACTTCGCTTTTTCTTCACTAACTTGCAAATTAGCTATTCTTTGGTATCCACTCCAGGACCAAGAGAATCGAAAACACATAGTTGACAGCATCGCTACGTTCATACTATTTTATATTATTGCATACGGTTATAGTACATAAATGCAAATGCACACGTATACCGTATATCGTGCACCGAATATTTTTCTTCACTTAATATTTTTATGTTTCGTGCGCGCATTGAAAATGATACATGACACACACAATGACACATTTCCATACATTGCGTGCAATCTTCCAGACCAAACCAGTGCGGAATTGGAAGCACAGAGGCTCAAGATCCATGGCAGCAACGAAGCGATGAAACAGTGTGGATCCAATCAGCAGGGAATCCGCCATGATCCAATGGAGCGATACAAAATTAACGGAGCGAAGAGGACTGCGCTGACCCAGCTGAGATCTGAAGTACATTTCGTCCTAGGAAATGGCTACACGTTACCCCAAAAGATAGGCCGGACCCCATCTCAACCTTATGTCCTGTACAAATCAAGGGTCGCATTTTGTGAGCCTTGGGACCGAAATCATGCTTTTAGCCTCCAACATTGAACATATAAACAATATTGGATGTTTCCCGCAACACTTTTGATCCTTTCAGCACACATGGACAGGATCTCAAATTATATGGACGTTTATTGGACAAACTGAATGAGCATTCTTTAGTTGTGTACTGTAACTTGTGCCTTATCAAGATTTGGCCACATCAAGGTGACCTAAAATCTACTCAGACAGACAACCAGATAATGGACTTTGAGTACACTATTTTCATTTCTATACAATATGGGGAGTCCATATTAGTCACTGCAATGCGGGACACAAAAAAAGAAGGGAGGACATCATTCCAAGACCAGAATTTCGAAACTTCAATGGGAGAATGCAATTTACAAGTGTTGGGGGTATACAATGTAAATAGGGAACAATTCCAGAAACATGGGTTGGAAGCCTAAGTGATCTTAATGACGGGGGACCCAAATGATAAAATCTGGTGAACGGGCAAGGAAGTAAAGTCTTACATGGGGAAGTAATGATAAATATGAATTTGAAAATCTTAGGGATAAACTCGGATAAACTGGACAGTGTTGATAAACACTATGTCATTATGTGGTGATTTTGAAAGCAAACAGGATTCCAGAAATCTTGGGGAAATCAGCAATGTGCAGAGTAAAAACAGTGGGGCAGAAAGAGTCCGAACAAATGACAAGTTCTACCCGTTGAAGTGGAGCTTGATCCACTGCTGTGATCTTGCAAGAACTCCTTTGAGCTTCCTACTCGGAAAAAAATAGAAAAAGATACTTCTGTAATTAACTGAACTTCTGCGTCAGGAAAGCGTTTTAAAGACTGCATGCAAGAGTCCCACTTAAGCTAAAACAATCACTTTTGCTTGTGCAGTCAAGGGTTTCTCGATGTTTCTCGATGTTTCTCAATGTTTCTCATTTGGGTATGGGTCAATACCTATAGATACATTTTTAGTGGGATATTCACATCCATAAATCCCAGCTATTTTGGGGTTCACTGGGTACCAGGGTTTTGACCCACTGCCATTTGGTTGTGCTATGTTGTGCTTTATGACTTTATGCGCTATCGAAGCTATGATCTCGTGGTATCGAAAACTTCCTCTCGGGCTCTAAGGCAGTCCTTGGACTCGACCCGACGCCCTTCCCTGAGAGATTGGGTGGCCACTGGGCGGTGCTAATGCAAAGGTTCAAAGAGTGTTAGGCCATTGACCTATCTGGCACATGTATGTAGAATGTATGCACATATATATATATATCTATATATACATGTTGTTAAAAAATTGGATTGAATTTTGAATCTTTAAAACATATGATGTTTTGCGTTGTGTACAAGGAAGCCTGCAAATTGAAAGACACCCATTCTTGACCTACTCGCGTTAAACGTCACGGAGAATTGTGGTAGGTGACTACAAACACTACCAGCACCTACAAGTTCATTACATTTCATTCCTATGCATTAGCTCATACCAGGATCCACGACGAAGCGCCGCGTTTCTCCGCTCAGCATTCTCGCAGTGTCAGCTGAGTCAACATCTAACATCTGCTCATCTGTGCAGTGTCATCCTCTCGCACTTGGCGGTTGCTTAGCTGCAGCGAGTTGCAGGCGTTATGATAACATTATGTCAAGATATGTCAAGTCTCTATCCAGAGAGGGTGCTCTCTTGCTCTCTGAGCTACGCATACCTATTGTACACTGGTGGCGGTGCAAGCTGAATCTACCACAAAAGAACGCAGATGACCCCCATCCAATCCCTACAACTTCATAGATCATATTTGATCATAGTGAAGACAAACGAAACAAACGCGGATTGGCATAATCAATTGCTATGATACGCAATCTGATGTACCCTTTGGTTTTGGTTCCACCTTGCGGACTCAATGCTATTCATTTGCTACTAACACCCCCACGCTTGGAAAGCTACAGCAGTGGACTTGAATGTGCCAAAACAGGCTTTCGTATGGTATGGCATGGTATGGTTGTTTATCTGCAAGTTTTCGAACGTTTTTGAACAAGACGGACGATAGACATCAATAGACAAGATCTTTTGAGCCTTTTGGGCTTGTGCCGAGGGTATGCTGCTCACATCTGCTCACTGCAGTTTATGGGCCTTCAAGCAGACCCACAAGGATCACAACATGAATCTGCAAACGAATGTGTCAGGACCGAATCTTATGCCAAAGTGATTAAACGTTTATATATGTTTATATAAATATGTTTTAAACTGTTAAAATAGCACCTTGTTTGAAGAAACGCGCTGAATCTGTTCCAATGTAAAGCTCCTGGCTGGCTCCGCTTCTTCCATGGCTGCGCACGTGGGGATTTGTTCCGTGGCACACCTGTACACTGGCCACATTGAGCGCAGCTGTTCATGGTCCACATTCGTGGCCTTTCAAACAGGCTTGCGCAATCTCATTCGCCGCGACAGGAATTGCACAAGCTTGCGTGCTTTTCCTAGATCAAGCCTTTCTGCAATGTTTCTTTGAAACAGTAGCCGACAGGCTGATTTCGCAACCTTACTCACTATCACTCACTGCTAGCCAATGTAATTTCATACTGCAAAGTGCCCCTGCAATGCTCCTGGTATGCACATTTGACAGTAGTTGGCAACACTGTGCAAGGATGAAAAGGAACAATGGCAAAGATGACAAAGAACCCAAAGCGACTTGCGATGTGCAAATCTCCATGCACCAAGTCGCGCATTTGCAAGTCTTTGGTAATCTCTGCTTCGCGAGCGCCTGACGCTTTGCCAACTGGCACAGGAAAGTGAAGCAGCTGATAACATATGATAACATAGTTGGTGGTTTCAACCCCTCTGAAAAATATTAGTCAATTTGTCCAGGATTATCCCATCTATTATGGAAAAAATGTTTGAAACATTTTGAAACCACCAACCAGTAATTATTAAGGAGGAATATCGACCGAATATCCACAGGAATCGGACCTGCCACATGCTCTGCAGAACTGGCTCCACCCTACGCTGCCGAAACCTCCGTGAATCATGGTGCAACCACCAAGGCAAGGGTGCTTGGTGCCGGTCACAGTGTTGTCATGTTCAGCCCTCTTAAATGGCCAGGTAGAGTTAGGATAGTCTCATAGTGGGTACCTTTCACTTCCGAAACTGCATTTGATGTTGTTGCCGATGTTGCCGTTGCTGTTGCTTTCAAAAGGATAAGAAGGCAAAGGGGAAGGCAAAGGGGAGCATCTGGGCACGGCCATCTGGTGCCTACTCCGGGTTGCCATTTTGATCACGGCAACACTTTGCAGCACTTTGCAGAGCATTCATATCTGCACTTACCCTCATTACCCTCCGGTAATTTCACATAACTATTGAACATCACCATTTTTAATGGGTAAATCAACTATTTCTATGGTCAATGGATTGGTTCAAGGGAAAATCTTAACCGGAAACCATAGATTTTCCCATTCAATATGGGGCTTTCCTGTAAAATTTCCCTTAAACCAATCCATTTCTATGGTGTCTATGGCCATTTTCTATGTCGCAAACTGTAAACGTTGACCAGGCCGGGTATGTCAAGTAATCAATCCGTCTGAGCTCACCGATGCGAAAGGCGCCAGGCCATTACATCCTGCATCGCAGATTGCAATGATAAAGATTTATCATCGCAATATATTGTTATATATTGTGTATATATATATGTATATCTATCATAAATATAATGATATGGTTATAAACAATTATGATCACAATATCATGATTATATAGCAATATCTATCATAATTATATACGGTAGATACTATGATATTTATCATCGCAATATCTATCATAATTATCTAGCTATCTATCTCAGAATCAGATCCCAAGTGGTCCCAAGCTCAGCCTCGACAGTCATGTTGCCGTGTGTAGCAACAGAAGGCAAGCATCCCCGAGCGCCTCTGCAACTCGCGGGGGCCAATCTTCAAGACATCTGCAAGACATGGTCATTGATATGATATGTCAATCATAAGATACAATAATATATATATATATATTATATAAGATATAATAAATCAATAATTACATATAATTATTGCATTTCTGTACATTTCTGTACGCGAGATGCACGCTCTTAAACAAAATTTGCGGCACCGACAGCTGGCCAGTGTTCTGTACACGCGCCACATAGGCAGCGTGTCAACATGTGTCAACATTCAATTTTGAAGCTTCACAAGTCTTCACAGTTCTACTGTGAAAGTTGGCGCTGCTGCTTTACAGGTGATAGTTATTGATAGTTTCAAAGCTGAGCGGTGAATTTGAAAATGCATGAGTGAAATTCTGAAACATTGAAACTCGACTCATCTCTACTCATGTTATTGTTGATTTATTTCATGGCTCTAAGAGATAACACCACCCCGAATTCGAAGGGGCACGACCTTGCTGCAGGCCTGAGCTTTTTATCCAGCCGAAGTTCTTCTGCTCTGGCACCACAGAGCTACAAGGCCAAGGCAATTCACCTTCCAAATTCCAAGACGCAACAAATATCAACAAAGGTAAATTCTGCAAAGTGGGGTCTGGGGATATATGGGGATAATAGGTGGCATATGAAGAAACACGAACTTTGTGCCATACTCTTTAAACTTTGCTGCTCTAGTCTAGTGCCACTAAGATAAACTAAGTTCCTGGCATACAGCCTCCTCGTCGCCTGCGTTTGGTGGATGCTGCGGATGCTCAGCATCAGTATATGTCGATGTGACGCAGACACAAATAGAAGATTTGTTCAGGAATCTTGCTGCCATTACCTATGGCCTTGCTGAGGAAGGTGCGTCGTTTCCAAGCTAAGTTTCAGAAACAATGCCTGAAACGCATGTATATTTTTAGATAATCATACATGTGTATGATTGTACACACGCTTTATCTTTCATGCCTGTCCGCGCGACATGACCACATCGTTTGAAGCTTTCAAGAGCTTTCAAGCAGTTGAGGACCCCGTCCAGGCAGACAGCAACTATCCCATTAGGAACAGAATATTTGTCGATCGCTAAAATAAAAATGGCTAAGAACGAAAGCCGCCTCCAAAGGAGCCATGATGTTTGATGGTGAGCATCCATTCGTTGGAATATGCTTTTCATCAATGATTTTTCGCTTCATTGTACTTCTTCCAAATAGATTATAGCCCTTAACCTTTCATGGGAGGCTAAGGATCCAACTCAGAGCTTAAGGCCCTGGGAGCTTAAGGCTCAAAATTGACATGGCTTTAAGTTTCAAGCTGGAAGGTCAGGTGAATAGATGTCCAGCATTGGATGTGAAGGACCAAAGTAGATGTTAAACCATCAATGTAATAGTTTTGATCTCCATCGTTCTAAAGGGTTGCATGTTTGCGCGTGTCACTGTGCATATCCTTTCCCATTCAACATTAGACATACAAATACGCCTGTATATATATATATATAGAAAACAAAAAAGCTTCATTGTGATTGCAGTTGGCCCAACTATCAGCTCATACTGTTTTACACCCGAGAACGCACACGAAGCGTTCGTCCTTGAGCCACGGAAGTGGCGGATCAAAAGGTTGGATTCCCTTGGTCAAGTGATGATATGGAACCTTCAGGTGACATGACACAGCACCCCCAAATGTAGTTGACCAAGGGTTGAATCCACTGTGCAAAGTTCGACTGATACTCTTCTATCAGTCGGTTTCGGCTTGCTGCATGACTTCTACGCTTGAAACTGGGATCGTTCTTACGCGAATTAAGTTCCTGTGATACATCCACTAGGCTCAAAAGACCTGATCTAAGAAACTGGTTCAACGCATCATTGGCTCTCAGAGGATCTTCTTTGGTGAGGCAATCCACCACCATCTTCTGATGTGGTACCCACCGCACCATTGACTTTGTCTCCTGTAGATCTTTCAACACAATCGCCAGTTCTAAAGCAGATTTTCGGTCTTGTTTCCCAGTGGGATGTTCTCGCAATAAGCAGTCATACAATGACTTAGCGTCTGTCACTGAGCACTGCTGCTGTCGACCACCGAGTTCGCACTCACCTGGAAGCACCAGCATGTGCGGTGACAGTGAACTTCTCCAACTCTTCAGCTGAACATCATGCAGTGTCGCATCTCTGTACATGATTTGAAGCCAGTCTACCTCGTTCACACCTTGCAGCATCGCCTGCGTCTCTCCCCCATAGGTTGAGAACACCTTGCGCTTGAGCTTGCTACTCCTCCATGCCATGGGACTAGCTCTGACTTGTTGCTTCCCGCACGGCAGTTTCTCTGCCGTGAGAACAATCCATGCACCTTGAGTGGCGTCAGTGGGCAGACCTTCTGAATCAAGCAGTTCCAACTCCTTGACATTTATACCTCCAGCATCCGAACAAACAATGAAACACATGGATGAAGGATCAAAACGCCAAATCTTCAAAGGTCGCTCGGCCGTGGTGCGAAGGAAATTCACAAACTTGTTGACTATCAGAACATCGCTAACCTTGGCAAATTTCAACTTGGAGGCCATGATTGATGCCAGACCAGCCGCTTCTGGCCTGGTCTCGCGGGCCACCCAATTGATCTTGTAAATCAGGGATCGCAGGGCATTGAACTCCTCTGTGGTGAGTGACTGGTTCATGGCCTGTCGGCGCCCCTTTGCTAAGGATATAGGATGAATTTGTTCTTGAATGTACTTGTACTGGTCAACTAAGATCTCATCTGTGTTGCACCTGACCCGCCTGCCTGCATATTCTGCCTCGTCTTCCTGCCACTTCCCAAAACTGAAACGTTTCTGCATCGCCTGCTTAAGTTCCTGGTAAAATGATGGAACTGCTGCGACAATGAAGTCATCCACTTCTACCAAAATCTGAGCAATGCATTCTCCAGTCTCCAAATGAAACTTGGAATACCAACAGGGTTCTACAATGTTGCGCTCGAACCCCAAGTCCTCGGTCAGGAAGCTGGAGACAGTCAGCCGCCAGGAGGCGGGAGCATCGTCTAAACCATAGACAGGAACATCAATGATGATGAGTGAGCCAGGAGGTAAATCCAAACCCTCGCACGGCTCAGCAAACAAAGGCCCCTTGGGACGTTGCAGACGTCCACTCTGACAGAAAGCATTTCTGACATCGGAAAAGGCAAACTTCATCTTGTAGTTTAGCCCCACCTGCATGAACATCATCATCCCCTCGCTCTGAGGCGTTGGGGCATAGGTGACCAAAGTGCCAGTGTCTGGGTCTTTATGGCCATGAATGCACCATCTTGACTTGGCTTTCCATGCATGGAGTTCTGGAAGTGGCTTCTTGCGCCTCACCATTCTGGAGCTGATGATGCGGTCTGGGAATTGGGCCCTGAGCTTGGCGGCTTCTGTGCCGGTGACGACGCGAACGGCCCCAGTCTCAAGGATGGCTTTCCACTCGATCTTGTCTGACTCTTCAAAGAGCTCTCGCTCCTTCTGGTTAAGATCCTTGAGTGAGATCTCATCATTGCGTTTCGCCATGTAAGTCCAAGAGCCATCTTTCTCCAGCCGCAGCGCCTCGTCTCCCAAGTTGTAGTTGTAGAAGTTCCCACTCCATCCCTGTGAGGAGAATTCTTCTTCTGACTGCCTCTCAAGTTGATCGTATGCTTGTCGAAGGCGTTCGATCTCAGAGGCTTGTGTTGCGACTCTCCCGTGTTCTGGAAGCAGTTCACTTGGTGTAAGTCCAGGAGGTCGAACTACCCGCTCCATGAGATGTTGAATTGGAGTCCCAGGAGCCCGCGCAGTCGATGAAGTTGGCAATGCGCTGGAAGAGGAGGATCTCTCTCCAGGATGACTAGATGGCGAAGAATCAGATGATGAGGATTCCACTTGAACCACATCTTCAGCAGTTCGTGGCATCTTCCGCGGAGGTTCTACAGGCGGTTCCAAGTCGTTTGGCTCTGTGGAAGCTGCTGGCGGAGAAGGTGTTCTCTCCATCGGCATTGGTGCTGGTGTGGGCTCATCTTCCGGAATAGCCTCAAGTCCAAGTCCAGGAGGCGTCTCCGGTGGCCTCGGTGGTGGCAAGGGCGTCTCATCTGGCTCGCTCGCTGGCTCATGTGTTGATGGCCTTCTTGAGTCTGCGGTCGGGAGCACTGGAGTCTCTGGAATCAGCCAGTCAGGCGGCGTTGTGGATGTCCTTCCAGTTGGGAGAAGCCCATCGGGAACAGGAACAGGAGGTTCAGGAGCATGTCTAGGGCCGCCAGGCAGCCACTCATCGCTGGTTTGCACTCCATCACCTGCATGTTCAACAGCACGTAGATGAGCGTGTGGTGGAGGTGCGCCTTCTTTGGCAACATCAACTGCTCCGGATCGTGTTCCAGAGATGACCTTCCGAAGAAGAGTCGCCAACCCTGGGTCGGACGCCAAGTCCTTGCCCATGATCTCGCTGGGAAGAGCTGGCCGAAGTTGTTCAGCAGAGCATCGCCAAAGTCGGGACCGCATGCCGACGTAGACGGTGTTGTTATTGGAGAGGACCACCACTCCTGGGCCTACCCACCGATCTCGTAGATGCAGTTCTTGATTGGCTCTGGCTCTTCGGAAGACATAGACCCACTGACCTGGGAGCCAGACTCGGTTCTGGTGAGTTGCTGCTTTGGTTGCTCCTTGCATGGCCTCCTTGCTGTCTTGTTGAAGGGCTAGTTGCCGTGCTCGCTCTCGGATCTTGAACCTCCGCCGATATTCTCCGGCTGCTTCATCAACCTCCATAGGGTCTGAGAAGGCATCCTGTAGTCCGTGAGCAGCTAAATCGTCTTCCGCAAGGAGCTCTCCGGGTATGCGGGTCAATTGCCCGAAGACCAACTGCGATGGAGTGTAGCCACCCTTGTTCAGCCAGTTGTTCTTGGAAGACGTCAGGCTGCTCAGAAGCTCATCCAAGTCTGGGAGTTCTTGAATCACAGAGCGGCCACTTGCGATCTCCCGATCAAGTCGGTCCTTCAGCCAACCGCCGTGTCGTTCTGTGAGGCCATTTTCCCAAGGACATTCAGGATGTATCACATGTTGATAGATGCCCAAGTTTTCCAGTCCACGTTCGAAGGCCCCTTTGAACTCGTTGCCAGCGTCACAGATGATCATCTGAGGGGCTCCGTAATACCTCACCCAGGTAGTGAGGAAGATCTGCCATGCCGTTTGAGAGGTTGGAGTTCCACCACCAGTGCCCTCGGCAATCTCGGCACGCACAGCAATCTGATAGCTCGTGCCCAGGTCAATCATGTTCATGATGGCCAAGTTGCAGTCCCGCCATTTGATGTAAAAGAAGTCCAATCCCACTATCTTATTGAAGGAGTAGGTGCGAGGCAACTGAGCTTTCCGATGGACATCTGGTCGATGCTTCATTTGGCAATCTTCGCATCGATGCTCCTTTTGGATGTACTCCAGGACTTGTGGTAGAGCGCCAGCAGCTCTGAAGGCTCTCAAAAGACGATCTCGAGGTGGGTGACCAAGATTTGTGTGAACCTTCTGAACCAGTCGTTTCTGAGCGTCTGTCACGCTCTTTCTCCTGGCATTTCTCTCACCTCCTTCTCCGACTTCCTCACCTGCTTCCGCCTCATCCTCGCCGAAGCCGTGAAAGTCCAAGGCTGTTGGCTCCTGTGAGAGAAAAGAGGGAACCGGAAGACAGAGGGCTGCAGATTGAGCACTTCTGGCGATGCACTCGCATAGTTGTGGTGGATATTCCTGGGCCAATCGCGGAAGACCGCCCATCAGAAGTCAGTGTGTGTGCCCCCCATCACATTGTGCCAGAGACAGCTCATGTGCCAACCATGGATTGTTGGTAGCGATCTTCGTGATCTTGCGTGACAACTCCCCAGATGGCACCACAGAAAGTCCAAAGGCACACATGTCGAATGCCATCAGTGCCACATCTGGGCGCTGGAGGACTGCCTGAGTCTGAGGCAATTTCCATGACGTGGCTGCTCCGGGATGTTCTAGACCAAAGTAGTCGCCCTGCCCGCATTGCTCCTCGATGGCTTCGAGGCTATAGTCCCACATGAGATGCCCTTCAGCGAGATCTCTCTCCAATCTGCCAGGAGACATCTTGTGGTGATTCAAATTGCCCAGTAAGGAGAAAGCCTTGCACTCAGGTGAGCACATCAGGGTCTTGGGCTTTCTTTCCCTCTGAAACTTGCGGAACTTCTGGCGAGCTTCTTTCTTGCGAACATCCCAACCTGAGGCAAGATCAAAGACCATGTCTTCTGCCACTCGAAGCCCAAGTCGTTGCGCATATGGAGTGACCCTTGAGGGACTGAAGAGCTCGGCGAAATCCAGTTGCCGAGGGTCTTGGCCATGGCTCTGCCGCGTCAGGAGGCTCAACTTCACGCCACACCTCTTGATGTCTGAGGGAGAGCCAACATCTGGTAGCTCATGCTGCGCGGCTGAGAGGTTCTCCTTGGAAAGGATGTCTGTGGGAAAAGTCCAAAGAGTCCCAGTCTCGGAGAGATTCCCTTCTAAATCCATTCGAAGGGGTGGCGTGGAGAAGTTGGAGAAGGAACATAGCCGGATAAAGTCCATAGGAAGCCCCCAGTGCCGCACCCTCAAGTCCAATGGTGCAGTGAATTCCAATTGGCAACTGGGAGCAGGGCTATTCTCCAAGATCTCTCCGGACTCTGCGTCAATGACTGTTCTCCAAAGGCAGCACCAGTCGGCTTCTCCTGGAGGCTCAAGACAGAGACACCTTTCAACCTCCGACTCTCTGAGTTGAGCAAAGCTGGGAAGCCAGGCAGGTCGCATCTGCTTCTTTGACTTTGTTGCTGATTGCTCTTGACATTCTGTAGCATCTGCACATACAGTATGACCACCGTGTTGATTGAAAAGTCCTTCTTCTTTAGGAGCGCCGCATACTGAGGAATCAAGGCATACTGTGTGATCATGGCATACCGTGGGAACATGGCATACTGTGGGAACATGACATACTGTGGAATCTTGACATACCAGAGAGCTATGAACTTCTCCTGGATCCCCGCCCAGGTCATACTGAAACATATAGCACTCATCTGTCATTCCCGCAGCAAGCAAGTTGCCCTGCATCGAGGCAGAGCACTGGTCATAGGTGATCAATGCTGAGGTAGTGATTACTCCAGCGGCCAGCAACCACGTCGGCCAATTTCTCACATGTCCGGCATGATGTTGGGATTGGGCATCTCTGGCTCGGTCACCGACCAGCGATCCTCCTCCATGTTGGACCCAGTTGATCTGGTCGGGGATGATGCTGGACGCATGAGCATCACCATCTGAGCTTGGCCCTGTGCGAGCTCCTGCAATGACCTTTGCACCTGAGTCATCATCTGTCCCAGTTGCGAGTTCTGCATGTTGAAGGCCTGAAGTGTCTGCTGCAGTATCTCTGATGCCTCCAAGCTCCCGGATTGCAAGACTGGGTTCGTTGGCGGCAAGGCGGCAGCATCCGCAACTGTTGGGTACGCCTCCATGATTGTCGAGGAGGTCGCTGCTCGAGCATTCTTGCCCCTCCCCTTGGACGACATGGCACTCCTCCTTGAGCGGTATGCGGTCCTGGCTTGACATGCACCGCACACCGTCCAAGATGCGTATTGATTGGATCGATGAACTTGTCGTAGCTGGGGATGAATGCACTTTCCCACTTGATGCCCATCGTGTGTGAGATTCTTCATTGCAGAGAGACGAGATGCCTTGGTTCCCAACTCCGCCTTGACCAGCAGAATGAAGTTCAAGCGACTTGCATCCCACACCATTGCCAGGGTCTGCATCAGCCGACACCAATTTGACTGTGCCCTGGCTGCTCGGCTCGGGTTGCCCGTCTCGTAGCTCGTCGGAGAGCTGGTTCCCATCATTGCGAGACGGCGCTGGTTCGAATTTGTGTGAGCTGGAACGCGATCCCATGGGGAAACTTGTGCTCACTTGCTGCTGCGGACACTGTGGATCAGCGTCATGGTGTTCATGTTGTGGTGATGTAGTGGTGCAGCATGGCCTAATACCTGTGACCTCGAACACTTCACCATGATGACATGTCTCTGATGTTGAAGAGCACTTCAAAGTATGACCTGTGACCTCATGTACCTCTTCAAGAGAACATCCAAGTTCTTCAGCACGGCTTTCAGCTGCAAACGATTCAACATGCGGAGTTTCCATAGGGGATATTGATGAAGTTGAGGAGGAAGAAAATGTATGTACCTCACTACCTCGATCACTACCTTCCAATTTCTGCACATGACCATGAGTATTGGGCTCATCATGATATGTTGTACTGCTACTAGTTCTTGGAGTCATGATCATGCAAGAAGAGTCGGCCGCACCTTTTGTGTAATCCAAGAGGGACTTGCTGTCTAGGTTGAACGCATCCTCAGACAATCCATATTTCTTCTGGACGTCCAAAGGAACTGGAAATTTCTTCCCATCCCACTGAACCAAAGGGATAGTGCGGTGTCCGGACGGCAGCTTCTTCATGGGCAGCTTGAGTCCAATCTTTCTGAAGTCGATCTCATCTCTCTCCAAGTCTATGTTGGCTTGAAGAAACTCCAGAAAGCCAACTGAAAGCAGCGGCGGGATGTTTCCCTCCAGCACTGTGATCTCAAGCACTCCAGGAATGCCTCCAGGAGATATCGGAAGCAGCATCACTCCTGTGGCTCGAGCGGAGCCACCAATGCCAGACGGAGTAACCGCTGGCTTGTCAACCTTCAGAGGGCGAAGGCCGGATCCAGCTAAGATCTCGGTGAGTTCCTTCATCGCTGCTGTGCCAATCAAGTCCTGAGTGGCGCCAATGTCCAAGATCGCTTCCCCTCCAGGAAGCGCTAGAAACGCCCACCTGTCCATCACCTCACTTGGTGACATCACCACCTGAACAGCTGCTCTGACATCGGCCAGAGTCACATAGGAAAAGGCGGAACTCGCAGAGCTCGCATTGCCACAGTAGGAAAAAGCAGTCGGTGCCGCCTTCTTCTTCAATGCGCAGTCTTCTGCCCAATGCCCGCGCTTAGTGCACAAGCGACATCTGGAAATCTTCTTGAGCTGCTCTTTGTTGAGGCGTGGACGTGGTGCAGACTTCCCAGGAACTCCACCAGCTTGTCCACGTGGATGTCCAAACTGGCCATCCTTGCTGAAGGAGCCACGATCCTTCTTGGCATCGGCCTTGAACAGTTTGTTCTGCCTCCATGTTCTGCGCCTCTGCTCCAAGACGGCAAAGACCTCAGTGACCTGGTCCTCTGTGAGATCAAGGGGCTCGAGCTCCTTTATCACTGCCTGCTCATCAGCCGCGTCGTCATCGTCAGACGTGTCGTCATTCTGAGTCACATAGGTCTCTGCTGTCTCGTCGCCATGTTCCCCATTCACATAGCCACTGATGCGATCATGTCTCACATCAAGACGTGCAAGTGCCTTGGCAACGGCTTCAGGGCTATCCTCATTGGACTGCAGCAAGGCCATCAGGTTCTGCTGGCTCTGCTCCGTGAGCGCGGCTCCTTCGCGCATCAGCATTGCCTTCAAGGCATCTGGAATCACCACACCAAAGTTGGCCGCCGCCTGGAAGTCCTTCATGCGACGCACTGAGTATTGTGCCAAAGTTTCATCCCTATGCCTCTGGTTGTCGGCAATGGCCTGCTTGTAGGCACGCCTTTTGTCATCTTCTTCTCTGACACCAGCCTTTGAGTTGATCACGGCAATGATGGTGTCCAAGTACCCATCCGAGGAAAGAGTCTGCTCGGAGAGGTGTTCAAAGTCTGCTTGCATGTCCCATCCAAACGTCCGCAAGAGTTTCTCGGCACGCTTGAAGACAGGAACATCCGTCTGCTTGTGCCACCTCCTCACTGCTAAGACCCACAAACGGCGGTGTGCCCACCCTGGCCACGTGGGTGGGTCAGAGTAGTCTGGTTTGGGCCCAGACTGCCACTGACCCCAAGGCTGTTCTGGCTGTTGCTGACGCCAATCTCGAGCTGACCATGATTGATCAGTCCATCCCCAGGAGCGTCGTTGTCCTTCTCGTGAGCTTCCATCTTGTTGGTCAGGCTGACCACCATCCTGTGGAGGATTCCATGGATCAGCTGTAGTCCAAGGATGTCCCTGAACTGGTTGATCCCCCTGGCACTGCATCCTCTGCGACCCCATTCGCATTGGTATTGAGTGTCATCCCTATCTCGGTAGCATATGCTCTTGGCTGCCAACTTGCATTCTGAGACCAGCCTCCAGACCACCAACCATCGGTAGCCCAGTTCCAGCCCCACCTCCATGACGACCAAGAGCCATAGCTCCTCCAAGTTTCATCTGGTTCTGCTCCACCTGGGACATCTGGATTGGCTAACGTTTGCGCATGGTCTGGGTCATTAACATGTTCTGATAGTGGGCCACTAGCTTCATCCAAGGCATTTAGGTCCATAGAACTTGCCATAGCTCCGGTTACCAACTGTGATTGCAGTTGGCCCAACTATCAGCTCATACTGTTTTACACCCGAGAACGCACACGAAGCGTTCGTCCTTGAGCCACGGAAGTGGCGGATCAAAAGGTTGGATTCCCTTGGTCAAGTGATGATATGGAACCTTCAGGTGACATGACACATTCATGATTGAGTCATACCTCTCCTATGTTAATTGGGAAGCAACATGTTTGTAATTACGAACATCATATTTGTCGATCGCGAAAAGCCAAGCATTTACAACGATTTTCGGTCCAATCTATTGCCCATCCGCAAGGGGAGCGTTGCGTGATACGCCAAGGTAAAGCACCCTTCACAGCACAGCTTAACACAGAGCAGGCGTAAAGTCGGCAGATGATAAGAATGCAGAATGAACTTGGTAACTTGGAATGGGTGAGTGGAACATAATGAACATATGTATGTAATCATTAATGTCATCATTAATGTCATCATTAATGTGATAGTTTCCTCAGATTTCCCCAAAAATAATCCCCCCGAACTCGGGTCACGCCACGCTTGCCGCGTGGTAACCCGAAACGTTTCTCTCGAGTTCGCTCTTTGAGACAGTGCTAAAACTGTTTTACCCTCTGGTTATGTCAAAATAGCTATTGAACATGGCCATAGAAATAGTGAGTTTTCCCATGAAAAATGGTGATTTTCCATAGCTATGGGACAGTTTACCAGAGGGTTAATGTCTGTTTCCTTCTTCCAATCTGCCACAGCCCACAATAAATCGACACACACTTCTCCAACCTGCTAAAACGCCGAAGATCTGGCCGTGGTCAGTCACTTGGAAATTCACCCCAAAGACCTGAGTCTATAGTTGAAGTGACGTTGGGATGTGGGATGTCCAAATGCTAAGGCTGCTAAGCCTGACTCTCCCGGTCTGCATAAACAAAAACCGCATAATAATATAATATAATATAATATAATATAACATAATATAATATAATATAGTATAATATAACATAATATACATATACACACATAAATAAATGTATATATATATATATTATATCTATATAATCCATTTGTTCTCCTATTTTCTCATGCTGACAAATTACGCTGCTGCCGCGCCGTTGGGTGGAGTCTCGGCGTTGAAACCTTGGAACCCCAGAGACGTGACAGCGTGACATTTGGGAAAGTTTGGTGAGATGTGCCCTGCATTAGTGGGAGGTCCTAAACTGATCTAAACTGCGTCCCACACTTGGTATGAGCTTCTGGTGATGGCTCAGGCGGTAGGTCCTTCTTCCACCTGTGCGGAGAAGCAGCTCCACATGAAAAGCATGACAGTCATAAGTTGTCACAAGATATCACAGAACAAAAATGATAAAAATGACGAAAAGCTTCAAGCCCAAGTACCTTGCCTTTCTGTAGGTTCCAGTCTCCACAGTGGTGGTGGCGGTGGCCAGGTGATGATTCCATGATTTGACAAACGCTGGCGTCTGTGCAACCACTCCTCCATTCGGTCCATTCGGTGATCTGATCTCTGCACTGATCATGGTGACCTGAAAGCTGTCCTCGAGGGAGACAAAGTGTGGCAGGGCTTTCTTCGTACCTTGGCTGCTGTCAGGAATTGTCAGGAAGTTCCTCCAACAAAGGCAACGATCTCACACGCGCAACACGTGCTCAACACATTTACGCAAGAATGCATGTGATATCATGTGATGTGCATGTAGCTTCATTCAGCTTGATGTAGCTTGACAAGGCTTGGCCTGCTTGGTTATCAAGTTATTTTTGCCAGTTGCCTTGACAATTTTTTCAGCATTCACCTCTCAGACTCTCTTTGATGGGTCTTCGCAAAAGCTTGGTGCATCGAGACGTGGAGAAGCGCTGTGGCTGTTTTGAGCTGTTTTGAGCGCTGGACATTCAACAACCATCGGTTGCACCCTTATCTCATCCCAGGTTGGGCTGTCCTGGCTCGAAAGGCGAGGCACACATGTAAAAAAAACAGCTAATGGAATGCCAATTTGCCAATGGACAATGCTTCAGCTGATCAGCTGATCAGCAGCTGATCGGCTCTTGATTGATCCCGCACCTGTCAATGTCAAGCTATGTCCAAGATTATCAAGCCAGCCGCGGCTATGCCAAGCTATGTCAAGCTCTCAACCCACTGAGATCACTGAGTGACTGTGCTGACCTGTGCTGCATACCGCCAAGTTTGGCACTCCTCTGACTTCCTCTGCTCCAAGAAGTCTATGATTGCATCCCGCAGTTCCATCTGCACCGTGCCCCCAACAGGATAAGAAAACAATAGCAGCGCTGATCTTAACATTTTGATGCGTTCGTGTCTGACGCTATTAGACTAGCCAACGGGATCTCTGGACAAGTTGTTAGTCGCTTCAACACAGGGAAGAGAGAATGAGTCCCTGAGTTCCATTGCACAAGATTCAAAGCTGAAGAAATCACCATTGTCGCGATTTGAGCAAGACAAATTTGAGCACCTCCATGAGAGTCAGCTTGTTGGGTGGCAAATTCTGAAAAAAAGCTTCCTGGGTGAAGGCGCAGGGATGCCTGTCTTTTTCTCTTTGACCAAGTCATGGACATTTTCATTTGATATCCTGTTCTGGAAGGAGTTTTCTCAATTTGGGCAGTGTTTTCATCGTTGTGTCATCAATCAGTGAGATTTCCTGGAAAAGGTGGTGAACGATGACAAACAATATGTTCTGAGAAGTTTTTACGTGTCTAACACAGACAGACAGACACAGACAGACAGACAGACAGACACACACACACACACATCACACGCATCACACACATCACATTTCTTCAGTTGCGCATATGACAGATCGCATCACGTATTGGCCACAAACGGCGGCTTGGGAGCATAATTTGAGGGGAAATTGACAATTTTTGAGCTGATTCCAGAGTAAGTCCTAGAAAACTTCTTCCTGCATGCACTCTTTTTCCATTTTAGAGTGCCAGTGGTTAATTACTCAAATTTATTCAAGCATGTCGCAACCTCCCAGCATTTGGGGACCCATCGCTGGATTCCAATCCACCGCCACAATTCAGCAAAGACACTCGCCGATCTAAGCCATCTCCTCAAGCGTGCAAGCAGCACATTTTGAGTTGTGATTGCCATAGTGGTTGAAAAAAAGTACTACTCGCAATGGACATGGCCAAAGTCGGTGGTCCCTATTGGTTGTGAAAGTTTGCACCCACAATTTGACACTTTCTACCCGTATTTTGTCGGTTACTCATAGGTTGCATTGCTTGCGCCTGCACACCACAGCCCAGGATTTCCTCTAAGAGGTATTGAGAGGTTTGTATAAGTACATATATATATAGTTATATATAGTTATATATATATATATGTATATATAAAATATACGTATATTATATGCAGTATAACATTTCAACTTTGATCCTTACAAAGGCCGCGGCTGTTGGACATATTTCCTCTTTGAATCTCTAAAAAGGGTCGCTGCAGTCCTTCTTCGTGAGACCACCACTTCAGCCAACTTTCCGAGCGCTCATCTAGACAAGTGGTTCAAATATGGTTCAAATTGAACATGTTTCAACACATCCAAGGAATCCATAGGAATCCAAGTTTCAACCCCCATTTCCTCAACTCCTGACCCTGCAAATGTAGTCTGGGATAGTCTGGGCACTGTCACAGCGAACGGCTTACAAGAACTTGAACAAGTACATACAAGTACTGGAAAGTCATTGTCTGAAGTCTCAAACATCGTAAGGTTCAAAGGATGCTTTTGCCGGCCTTTTAGACAAATATGAGTTGCCGGCATTGTGCCCAAACTGCTTGTGGAAAACAATCTGATATGCCAACAAGACAGACACCGCCTCCCATAGCGACTCAAGGAGCCTCGTGTCTTGGGGGTTTCTGTCCGCAATGGTGGAGGAAGAGGCATCCAGCCATGCAAGGCATTGCTCCTTCGTGTTCAACTGGTGCAATGCTGGGACATGCTGAAAATTGCTAAAGCAGAGTGAAACGCAGTTTCAATAAACATGGTCAAACGCTACTGTATAGAAACACTTTAAGAACCTCATCAAGGCAAAGTTGAGAGTGCCGATGGCAGCTAAGCACTGGAAAATCAATAATAATAATAACAATAATAATAAAACAATAATAAAAATAAAAATATATGTGTATGCATGTGTATATATATATATTATATTATATTATATTCTGCCAAAAAAGGGCTTGAAACAGTGCTGTGAAATAACGTTGTGAGCAACTTAGCGTTCGAGATCGCGTTTTGAAATAGCATTGTGAACAACTTAGCTGTTAGGTGCCGTTGGCTTTTAAAATTGAAACTAGCACTGCCAAAAGCTTTGAATCGAAATTTGCTCACCGACGTTTTGAACGTGGTCCCTGAACATCACTAGTGAAGCATTGAACACGTACCAAACTAATCTAAGAGCTAATTGAAACGGTAACTTCCCAAACACAGAGAAACGCAACGTCAAAAAAAAACATTGAACACGCTTATTTCTCAAACACCGAGAAACGCAAGGCTAACAAAAGCAAATTGTTAAAAGTTAAACGCTAATAAATTGCAACGCTAATTTTTGGAGCCTCCAAAATTCGAAATAACGCTAATTCCTTGAGAATTAATTAGTGTTCTATCGTTTTGGGGCTCCTGAAAATTAGCGTTCTCGAGGCTTTTTGATCTTTGCTCAATGCTTTTTAGCGTTTTGCCACCAAAAAACGCTCAAAAAGGGTCAACAACCCTAATTTTGGGGAGCCCCCAATTAGCGTTTCAAATTAGCGTTTTCTAACGGTGCGTTTCTCTTTGTTTAGGAAGGGTTTCAATTAGCGTTTTGATCTCTGTCTTTGGAAAATTAGCGTTTCAATTAACGTCTAAAATTTAGATTTGATCTGCGTTCTGTGCTTGGGAAACTACCCGTCTAAAAGAAGGCTTTCTGGGAGAGCACTGAAATGCCTATCTAAAAGCAGACTTGGAAACGAACATATTCTAAAATAATCCCTCAATGGTTTAGGGGATTGGCACTCTCAAGGCGAAATGCCCGCTGTTGGGCCCAAAATGTCGCAGTAGAATGCTTCTGAGCTGTATGAACTCTCTCAATGAGTTATGGCAGTTATGGGCTCCTCAGCTTCTGTCGCAGTTGCTCACGTGAAAAGCGCCTTTCTGTCGCCTTGCGCTGCGCACTGAAGCCAAACTCTAGTGACATTCAATCTGAAAAGCACCAATGACAAGCATTCACTACTCTGAATTTCTGAATAGCAAAATAACAAAATAGCAAAATAAGTATAAAATAAGTAAAATCATAATAAGTAAAAACCATTCACTACTATGACAAGCAAAATAAGTATAAAACCATCAAAACCCGGCAGGGATGACAGTGACATAGACTCTTTGCGCTTTAAGCACCTGCTCCTGGTCCTGCTTTTTGTGACCTTCCAATGACGACTCATGGTCCGATTTCAATGCATTCAAGACATATTCATTGCACTCAAGCAAAGTAATCGAACAAATCAAATGCAGTTGAATGTGGTTGAATACGAATACACACACATATGGTCACATATGTATATATATGTATGTATACATGAATATATTCTCTAACGATGCTGACCTGTGAATTTTGATCAAATCATTGCCGGGGCTGCCTTTGACTTTGGCTTTCTTGGGTTTCACAAAGGGGGCACCTTGGAATCCAAACCATCCATGGGATATGGTGGGATATGAGTTCATTAGATACATTTTGATTATTGAGGTTTCCAAACTTTCTCAATAAAATGTCCATGTATATATACAAACACATACACACATGTATACTGTATAACGAAGAAATGACATGTATATATTATATAATATATACATATTACAACTAAATGTACATATAATGCAAAGTCGGAATTGAACTGTAACATTATCATTATCCCCCAAATAAAGCAGGAACCATGTGTCTATCGTCTATCGTCCTGTATCGTCCCATATCCATCCCATCCCTATCGTGCATCGTCATACATTCTCGCAAGATATCGTAACAAAAGGCTATCAAAAGGCTCAAACTTGTGGGGTCAAATCATTGAAAGAACATGGACAATTCCATGAGAATCCCTCAAGTGCCTTGGCCTCGACTGCTAGCTGGGCCTGGAACCCAGGAGTTCAGACTGCTCTTTGAAGCCTTCCATATTCATGAGGGCCTCAAACAATGAAAGGAAAGGCATGGAAAAACAGTCGCATGTCAAAGCGAACAAAAAACATCAAAACTCTGCATGTGTGGAAACAACATGTTTCTCATTGGATCGCATCAACAACATGCATTTGCTCAAATTAGATCGTTACATCCGCTGCACATCCGCCCTGTGTCCCAAACATTGGTTGCAAGCTGAGAAGTGTTGGGGCTCCTGGACCTGGTGAAGCAAAAATATGAAAACGGTTTGCTCCAAAACAGTGAATTTGAACAAATCTAAGACTTTGACCGGACACAGTGATTCCATATGGAAATGGGTAAAATTGTCTAGTTATGTCTAATTTGTTTGTCTAAAAACAATTTCTGAAGATTGAGGACTTCGGTTTTGAGTCGAGAAGGTCCTTTAATCGGTGTTGCTAATTTAAGAGAATCTCGAGCAACAAATCAAAATGCAAAAATCTTTCTGGAAACACCTTTTGGAAACATGATTTCAAACGACTGAAAACCGTTTGTTTATTTAAAAAACAGTGCGAAGATACCCTTCGACAGTGTTCTGCTATGCTTCTGGGTTCCTTCCCCGAAGAATGATGAACGTGCGGGTTGTTGGTCTGTCCTGTGTATGGCTTGCACGGCTTCTGGTATCTTCTTGCTGGCCATCTCCAAAGCATGCTGCACGCGCTCCTGGTCATAGCAAAATGTCCATCTCGACCTCTCTCCTTCTCTCTCCTTCTCTCTCCTTCACTCTCCTTCTCTCCCTTCTTCCCTCTCTCCTTTTCTCTATCCTTCCCTCTCTCCTTTTCTCTCTCCTTCCCTCTCTCCTTTTCCTTTGCTTCCCTCTCTCCCTCTCTCTCTCTCCTTCTCTCCTTCTCTCCTTCTCTCCTTCTCTCCTTCTCTCCTTCTCTCCTTCTCTCCTTCTCTCCTTCTCTCCTTCTCTCTCTCTTTCTCTCTTTCTCTCTCATTCTCTTTCTCCTTCTGTTTTCCCTTCTCCGTCGTTTATAATTTAGAGTCTAGTTTGGGACAGCTGCAGTTCAAGTTCAGCCGTTGGCGCGGGCACGTGCAGACTCAGCATCCGGAAGATAGACGCAGTATCGAAGGAAGTTCAGAAGTCAAACTTCCGACAATATGGAGAAATGAAGCAGCAAAGGTGGGAAGGGGCAGAGAAGAGAAAGAATCAGAAGAGAAGAAGTCAGAAGAGAAAGAGTCAGTAGAAAGATCAAGGTGCACACATAGGTAGAAAAGTTGCGCGACACTATGTTTTTCTGATGTTTCGTGGCTCTGGAGGGTCGAAAAGTAGGCTTGCTAAAGCGGCGGGTGCGGAGCCATCTGGCCGGAGGAGAGAGTAAACATGCACGCTGTTGTGGCGCGAGGCATTTCTCCATGTTCAATTTTTGCAACCCTTACAGCGCTTTGTGCTTTGTCAAGTGTGAAAATGAAAGTCGCGTTTCGCAACGCCAAGGGCGTTTATCAACGTGCCTCCGACTACAAGTGCAACTACAGCTACAACAGCTGCAACAACTACACAACACCACACTTCAACTACAACTACAAGTGCGACTGTACACTGCGCTACAGCCCACTAGACTACAATTACAATTACACCTGCAGTACGCTACAATTACAACCGCAGCTACAACTACACTATACAGCAACAACAACTACAACTACACTATTACGCAACACTAGACTACAGCTACGCTAAACTACGCGAGACTACACTACACTATACTAGATTGCCCGCAGTACACAGCACTACACTCTACTCCACTGCACTGCGCTACGCTACAGCCACAAGTACAACTACACCACACGACACTACAAGTACAACTACAACTGCAGCTATAAATACAACTACAACTGCTGCAGCTACACTACAGTATACCACACTAGACTACAACTACGCTACACTAGACTACCCTGCGCTATACTGCACTGCACTACACTAGACTACAACTACAACCACACCACGCTACACAACAACTACAATTACAACTACAGCTACAGCTCCAACTACAACTGTGCTACACTACACTATAGAAAGATAGATAGGCAGAGAGACAGGCAGAGGCAGAGATAAAGAGACACAGAGAGAAGATGACAGAGACAGTTGGAGAGACAGACGGAGGGAGGGAGGGAGGGAGAGAGAGAGAGAGAGCGAGGGAGGGAGGGAAGGGAGAGAGAGAGAGAGAGAGAGCGAGAGGAGAGAGGAAGAGAGAGAGAGAGAGAGAGAGAGAGAGAAAGAGAGAGAGAGAGAGAGAGAGAGAGAGAGAAAGAGAGAGAGGGAGAGAGAGAGAGAGACGCAAAGCCTCAACCACCTTTCGGTCCATCAGCTGGTTCGCTCTCCATCCATGCATCAGAGCGATTCACATCCTATAGGTTTCCTATCTTTGAAACTTCCGCCCGTGCCTTGTGCGGTACTACTGGTACTGATTAAGCTATGTCGAAACGAAGCAGTATAGGTGAGAACCCCAAAATGCATAAAATGCCTCTCAGATTGTCCCCCCTGGGCAGCAGAGGAGCAGCACACCAGTCCCCACGGCAACTCCATACCAACAATAAAAGGCACCATACTGGTATGAAATTCTGTATCAAATCTGTCATACTTTACATATGCACATGCCAATGGCATGGAGGTTCATGTTATCCGTTCACTAGTGGTGATATGTATGGAAATGCTATCTTCATCTATCTTCACAAATCATCCCACAAAAACGCTCAAAGGCATCAAAACGTTCCGTTGCACTCTTTCTGAAAAGGATTCTGAGGCTGTGCGTTGGCGCACTTTTGGCCCAGCAAAGAACGCATTGATGGGGGCTCCTCCACATCCTTCCTTGCCTCGGCAACTACCTGCCAAAAAACATGCACAGGCTCTATCCAGCTCTTCATGATACGTGTTTGCATTTGCACTTTCCGTGCATGCATGCGAGGCTGTGCGTGTGCGTGTGTGTGTGTGAATGAGTGAGTGAATGAATAAATGAAAGAACGACGGAAGGAATGCATGAATGAATGAATGAATGAATGCATGCATGCATGAATGCATGCATGCGTGCGTGCGTGGGTTTGTTTCTGTCTCTCTCTCTCTCTCTCTGTCTCGCTCCCTCCCTCCCTCCCTCCCTCCCCCCCAAGCATCTGCGTTACATCTGTAGGCATGTAGAATTTCTTAAATTCGCAATGGGCCAGGAAACTATGGCTGTCTGTCCTGGCCAACGAAAAGTAGACAGCATGAGCACTTCCGACTTGAATCCCTGGCTAGCGCGTTAATAACAGTTATTGCGGTTGTTTCCGCATGCCCATCAACTTTGTCCCATTGGTCTCTAGTGCTCCCACTTCCCTCGTGCTCCTTGGTAGTGTGTGTGTGTGTGAAGTTCCTGCGCATGCCCTGTGTGGGTCAGGTCGCCCAGTCAGATTGGTTTGGAGGTCCCATTGTTCTCCTCCCCCCCTGCGCTGTTTGGGCCGTCCGGCCGTCGTGCGTCCGGTTTTTTTCTTCCTCTTGCCTTTCCAGGCTTGTCCCGGCTTCAGGCGGGTGCGTGTGTAACACCTGTAGAGGTCTGTAGAGACGCACTTATTTTCTTACTTGCTGTGGGCCAGGAGCCCGTGACTGTCGGTTCTTGCCAGCAAAGACCAAACAGCATGGGTTCGCAAGCGTACCTGCAAATTTCAACTTGGGTTTCACTTCAATTGCTACTGGCTAAAGCCCAGAACATGTGTGATCCAGAGTGCGCGCGCGCGCCAAAATCTCTGGTGTGTATGACTGTGTATGACTGTATTCTGGCGTTGCCTCCTGTATTGCGACAGGGAGAAACATGAAACACATCTATGTTTTTGAAATTTATTGGGTTCTTCACTTGTGCTCAGGGTCGTTCTGCGTCCTTTCCTTGCCTCATAGTTCTCCAGACTTGAACTTGACGAACTTGTCATTTCATCCATCATGGCCTGAGGCAAGCACAGCTTGACCATGAAGTCATGGACCAGTATCGAATGCAAAAAAGCGTTGAACAAACCACAACTTGGTCGCTCTATGTCTTGGCTTGTCTTGGCGTGAAGACCTCCAACTCTTTGACCCAATCCAAGACGTGCGAAACCTCCTCCAAGCACAAACAGCAATCAAGGTCAGCTTAAAAAATACCCAAAACGAGATTGGAAAATAGTAGAAAATTGGAATGTGAGCCAATGAGTTGTCATGGTTGTTCTTGTTCTTGTTCTTCTTGTTCTTGTTCTTCCTGTTCTCGTTCCTGTTCTTGTTCCTGTTCTTGTTCCTGTTCTTGTTCCTGTTCTTGTTCCTGTTCTTGTTCCTGTTCCTCCTGTTGTTGTTGTTGATGCTGCTGCTGCTGCTTCTGCTGCTGCTGCTGCTGTTGGTGTTGTTGTTGTTGGTGTTGGTGTTGTTGTTGTTGTTGTTCTTGTTCTTGTTCGGTTGTGTCGCTGTCCTTGATGTAGCCGGCTGCTGCTGTTGTTGTTGGTGCTGCTGCTGCCGGTGTTGTTGTTTAGCAAAGCTGTTGAATTGCATGTGTGTTTGTTGATGTGGCGCTCTTAAGCTTTGCGCATGCCGACATTGGCCGATCCAAGGATGGTGCGCTGAGTGCTGTATGCTCAGCGCATGCGCAGTTGTATATTTCAGATCTTCATAGGTGGTGTATAAGATGCATGTCAGTATATAGTCAAGGCCTGTGCGTGCAGCCCTTGCTGTCAGATCTTTATCGCTCGTGTGTTTCTGAGCTCTGTGCATGCAGTCTGTGGTTTGAGATGTGCAGTGATGGCATGTTTGGGCACTGCGCATGCACAGTGAAATCGTGATTTTAATTGCTTGTTCTTCTGAATTTTGCGAAAGTCCGTCACTTTAGGTCTCGGTCCTGGAAACACTAATTTACCTTGGTCTTGTGAGCTTTCAATTCGATAGTTTGACCCTTCACAACTTTCAAAAACGTATCGATTTCATCTGATTTCGTCAGGGCAACAACACAGGCGGTTGCCCAGCAATGGGTCTGACAGTTGTGATTCTTGTGACTCTTGGCTTGCCGCTCTTGGAGATTGGATTGGTTGGCTCCTGAAGTTTAATTGTGTAGTTTCACGGTTTTGTTCCACGGTCTTGAATCATTTTGCCACTGTTTTGGTCGCATGACCTTGCCCAGCCTGCGCGTGGCGCGTGTATGAAAACTTCATGCTAGCGTTAAAGCGAAAACACCACACCACAGGGTACAGGGAAAGCGCCAATACAACTCATACACACACACACATATATATATATATATACACATAATTTCTACACATTGCCAGCTCCCTCCCCACCACCATCCGGGGCAGGCTGGCCCCAAACCAGGGGCAAGGACAGAACAAATCAATCGAGGTTCAGGATCAGAGATCAATAAATCAGTCAGAACTCTCCGCCGCAAACCCCCTAAAAAGAATACAAAATAGAAATGACTTTGAAACGAAAGGTCGTTTGTCCCGATCCGAACACGCCAATGCGTCTTACAGCGTTCAAATAAAGGGCATGAATTTGGTCAGCACTTGCCGTGAACAAGCTAGCGTTGTGCCCAAAGCTAGACCAGGCATCTTTAAATGTCTGAAAAGCCCAATTGTGTCTCGGCCTACCACTTCTTCGATATGCTGGCTTTGCCAAAGCATGGTTTCCACCGATACACATATGTAATCATATATACATAATAAACATGTGCGAGAGATAGTAAAGAAACTGCTGCGAAGGGCTCACCTTCCCCCGGAAAAATACCACACACACACACACACATTTCATTCAATTTCCTGAAGGCGAGGGACTGATGTGCCTCGAATTTTGTGTCTGAATTTTATTGCCTTCTAGAAACGGTGACACGTGTTAAATTTTGTTAATCTTTTGAGATGTGCAGTGTAACCGTTCCCCGTCCATTGGCTGTAACATGCTGTAACGATCAGAACCTTTTTTGATAACTATAATGTCATACAATTAAATTTCTAAGATAATTATAATATAATATATAGATAGTGTTATACAGTAGTTGTACATCTCATCATCTCATCTCATCATCTCATTGTGTTTCTCCAGTCGGTGCTCTCCTCCAGTGTGTCGGATAGATCAATTCTTTCCAAGATCTGCTTCACCTCCTCCAAAGTTCTCAGAAAATGCTGCCTGAGTGCCGAAAAAGCGCTGAGTGTGTACCCGCTCTCTGCCAATCAATTGGGTGTGTCTGAAAATAGTGTACCCCTAAACCCAATGGTTAATGATCATTATCCCTATTAAATGGCTATTTAATTGGGAATATACCCTATTTTCAGACAAACCCAATTGGCTGCTTCTGACTGTCAAAGTTTTATCGCCTCTTGACAAATGTCCAGCCCAGCCAGCACATTGCTTTGTCATGTCGTTTTCTGAAAGTGTCTCAACATGTATCCGCCCCGCCCCTTCGTTGTTGGCCTGAGTCTTTCGGTTTCAACCTCGCAATTTCGGAGGCATGGATTATTCAGCACCTTCCAGTGACCATGTTTGCAATGTTTAGCAACGTTTCACCTTCAGGGCAGAAAAAAGCGAATTACCACCATAAAGGAACCAAAAAAAACGTGTGCTTTCCGTCATTTCTTTTCATAATCTTTTCATTTCCTCTCATATTCCCTGCATTTTCTTTAGATGTAGGTCAGAACCAATTTGGATTTCATTCCGATTTGATTTCGATCTATTACACTTTAAACCCTGTCCGAGTTTTTGCAGCAAGTTCCACTTCATGAAGATTTAACTTAAAAATCTGAATGTATTCTAAATGTGCTCTAGTTATTATTCACTTTAAACACGGTAAGTAAAAATCGCCAAAAACCAAACAATGACTGGGGATTCCTCACAGTAGTACCACCCTTTACATTTATTTCAGGGGCCCCAAGGGTGCCTTGTTAATCCGAACGCCGCAATTGCGCCGCACATGTCGCATGGCCTCCGGGCCCTGCCGCCCTGCCTCTGCTTCGTTCTCGACGTGATCCGCGTCCATTCCAGCCTTTTAACATCGAAGCAGCTGACATATCATGTGAACACAGACTAACCGAATCTAAAGGACAAAAATCCGACTGAGCACTGAATTTTCCCTTCATGCTCCGAATCTGAAATGCTGTGAAGACAAAATCGAAATCGGATGGACCGATGCTTTTTTGTGGCACTTTCCATATTTGAGACCATAGAACATCACATGACAACGGTGACAACGGTGACTCATCTGGATTTTCGGATGCTGATTATGCAGGATCTTGGCCTACACAGTGAGCAAATCGCCTGCATTGTCGTCTCTGGCATCTGCTCTTTGGAGCTTGTTGAAGTAGCGGAGAGACGGCACACAGCAGCGCTCCCAGCCGATTCATCTGCAGCTTGGCTGCGGAAATCAACTCCTGAGTCTTGACATGTTTCCTTTGTGCCTGGGCCCATGCTACATGTTGAACTTGACAAACGAATACAACCGCCATCAAATGCCCAAGATTCCATTTTCAATATTTTTTGGGAGCTGAAATTTGGTACCTTCTAAGCTCTAGCTGGCTTTATTTTTCAGGGCAGAGGGCGCAATTTTTACGCAAACCCTTACCACTTCAACACTGTCTGCAAGACTTCCACTATGGTGCCCATGTCATGTTCTGCATTGCATAGGTCTATTCAACTGTGGGACAGTCAGCCTCCAAGTTCCCACGCAATTTTGCTTATTTGGTGTTTGACATGTTCTGATCAGAACATGCAAATCCGGGTTCCCAACCGCTCTGGCTCTGAGACATCTGGTCGATTGCAAGTCCGGCGATACTTGCTTTCCTTGCCGCGAGGAAACCTCCTTGATCAAACCAAACATGCATCCGGGATCCGGCCAACTGATGCCAACTGGGCAGGCAAAACATGGTGACATGGTCAAACTCATTCAACGTATTTCAACAATGATTGTCGACTGGTTGATATCCTGGACTTCAGACAGCTATAGCTTCAGCTTGGCACAATTTGGGTGTGTCTGAAAATAGTATACCCCTAAACCCAATGGTTAATGATCATTATCCCTATTAAATGGCTATTTCATTGGGAATATACCCTATTTTCAGACAAACCCATTTCGGTGTGACTGGTTCGACTTGCCTGACTGATTGTCGAACTGATGCTGCGGCTTGCTGGAACAGCGCCTTGAGCGATCGGTTCACGGATCCGTTGATCCAAAATCCCTTCGTCGAAGTGGGGGTTCATGGTGTTTCAACCCTGTTATCCATGTTATTCTGGGCATATTGAAAAGGAAACAATTGGATTCTGGATATAGCATTATAATTAAATTACAATGGATTATAGATCAACAAAAGTTCTTGGGCGCAAACTTGGCACAGCCGCAATGATGAAGTTTTTTAGAGGTTGGTAACATCAGTCAGCTTCAGAAATCGCAAACAGCAAGGAGGTGACAAGCCGTGCCAAAGGGGTGTCCAAATGGTGGCCAAATCAACCCCAACCTTCGATGAAAGCTCCTCCTGCGTTTCGCTCTTAGCATCACCTGGAAGTCAGCCACTATGTGCAAGAATCGGTAACAAAAATAAGGGATAAAACAGCATGACAAGATGCATGCGGATGTCTTTGCAAATTGCCATGAGGTTTCGTTGCATGTCACGCATGTCCATCAAACATTGATCTCCCCTGCAGAACTGATGGGTGGGAGCATGAAATGAGTAAGAGATAGGAAGAGGCCAGGGAATTTGTTGCAGTCTTGCTTCTTTGGGACATTTTGGGACACACCAGCCTACAGTGTAGGGCTAGCAAGTTAGCCAGACTTAGCCATGGTTTCCGTATACAGTATCTATATGTTGTATCTATCCTAGCTTTCGAGAGTTTACGCGTTCAGAGAGGATACCTAGGGTCTACCAAAAGGCAAGACCTGACAGAAGCACAGATCTTATCATTGGCTCCCAAGGACTTCCCCTTTGTGGCAAGTTAGGATAAGCAGGGTTGTTACAAGCATCTGATGCCAGTGAGGGCAGGAATCTCTTTACATATTTTGCATGAATCGCCCGACAAATTTCAACATACTCCACGCATTGCAGCTGATTGACAACTTGGAATGACAAATGATTTGAAGTCCACCTACAAGCTGCCCAAACGCTATGGCGGGTACATATGTATTGCATATTTTATACATTTGTGATCATGTGTGATCATTTGGTATCATTTGAAATCATTTGTGGTTATGCACGTGAATGTGGCCACTAGCACGTGATATTTCATGCGCTTATGCCATGTGCTCTCTATAAACCTGTCTGCCAATAGAAAATGCTTGTTGCGCCCCCATGTGGTTTCTATAAACCTGTCTGCCAATAGAAAATGCTTCTCACACCTTGTCACACCTTGTCACATGCATTTCTGTGCCTATAGTAAGCATTGCCTCATAAATCACCCGTCTAGACGAAGCTTGTCTCTGATTCCACGCTGCCCGGCAATGCCCTGTGAACCTGGCCTAGAAAGGACCGAGCCTGTGGAAACCGAAGCCGGAAAATTGCACTGGCATCGGTCTAAGATCACAAAAAATAAGTAAGAGATAGGAGGACAAGGGATGACAAAATGGATTGTATCCATCTGTATCCATCTTTATCCTGTCAGAGGGAAGAAATGGTGAGAACCAAAGCTGCACAGCACTGATCGTATGGAAGAAAGAGCTCTTTTCCAAGAAGTCTCAAATTGGTTAACCTTCTCAAGTCCCTACCTCGGTTCAAGAACTTTTCTGAAACTAGCCCAAAGTATGAAAAATGGATTTTGGCACTCCAATGATACCCTCTGGTTATGTCAAAATAGCTATTTAACATGGCCATTTATAGAGGATTTTCCCATGAAAAATGGTGATTTTCCATAGTTTTTTGTATGTTTAACAGAGGGTAAGTACTTTCCTACGGCAGTTTCATCAGCATTTCATGCCACGTTGGACCCGGTGCCTCACTGTAAATTTTCCGACCTCAAAACGCGCAGAGCTGAAACCGTTCCACGAATAGCAGAGGTTTCGGTTAAAAAGACGATGCTATTCATGATATATGATATATGATATATGAAAGAATATATGATGTATGTTAAATGTATGATATATGAAAATACATGGGTCATGACTGATGTCCCCATTTTTCACATCACCCAACCATGAATGGTTTTTGTGGTCAATGCCATGGCTACTTTTTCAGGTGATGTCCAATATTCCCAAAATGGGAGAGTTACCAACCCCGGAAATAGACGATGCAAGAATATGATAGAATCTACGAGCTTCATATCATTTCTGTGTTTACTTCACTTTGCATGCCAAATTCTTGTGCCGATTTTCCTTGTAACATCACGCAAACTCTTCAAACATGTTTGCAATGTCTTTTAGACAATCGGTGCCCATGTATCAGCACAGAATTCAGCAAAGGCCACCACGCACGGCTGGTTTAGCCACCTCAGGTTGAGTGATTGATCCACTATGGCCATACGCAGGCATCGGCCTAATGATTTACTTATTGATTTCCATTGTTGCACACACTTGCTCACACACGCTTTATATAATCTATAACACTATAATCCGTTGGTGGTATACTACCCCTCTGATTTTTTTTTCGTAAATTGGGATGATTATTCCCAACTTTTATTTATTTCCAACATATGGAAAAATAATAATCCAAATTTTCCAAGCCACCAACCAAAAAACACCTGGCGAAGGGATCACCGATACAAAACTTGGCGATTTTGGAACTGATGAATCACATATAATACATATTATATATTGCTATAGGTATACCCGAGTTATTAGTTACCAATTATGATTAAACCATATTAAAATTCTTTTGGATACATATACCCTCCAGTAAATCAACATAGACCCTGCCAGATAGGGGTTGGAAGACTAGTTTCCATTTAAAATTGGTTATTTTCAGGGTCTATGTTAATTTGCCAGAGGGTATAAGTTCATATAAGTATATAATGGTTTTGAGGGAAATACCCTGTAAGTCTATCTCAGGAGATCGATCCCCCATCTTCAGAAAATCAATCCCAGCTACGGCCAAACATGTTTAGAAGTCTTCCTTGACAAAAATCGTTGGAAGAAACCAAACATATCACAACTACCCTCTGGTAAGCTATTGAACATGACCATTTATAGTTGATTTACCCATTAAAAATGGTGATTTTCCATAGCTATATTAGTTTACCAGAGGGTAACCAATGCAAAATGAACGAGTTCTGACTGTTGTCAACGAGTGTCTACGCAAAGCCTGTGCAGTGGCCAAAATCAGCCTACGCCACTGCACAACCTGCGCTGTCTGCATGGAAGCCTCCATCCCGGGCATAATACGTCTCCCAGAGTTCCCACTTTATTTACCGATGCCGAAAAACACTGCTCATTTCTTCTTGCATGACTTATGACTTTCACATGCCATGACATTGCATTTGAAGTTGCATAGCACATGCCCCAACATCACAAGTTTGCACATTCGAAGATGCGATGCTTTAAACACCTTTACATGTCAAGATTTTTTTTTTCAGGACACCTGGGATCACATAAGAAAACGTGGTACCCTGCATGACATCATGTTTGAAGCTGTGGACAAGCTGTGGATAAACTGTGGTAGCCCATATCAAATTACATGAGAAGATGTGACAGTGTACATGACCTGATGTGACCTTTTCACATTTGAACATAATCAACAGGTGTTGCCTTCCTGTACAGCGTGACATTGGAAGACGACATTAGACGATATGGCATGACGTTGCAGACGTTGCATTTGAAGTGTGGCGATGTTCATCGGATAATATGGGAACAATTTGGAACATGTGACTGCTTACATTATTTGACGTTATATAAATCTCAAGATCTGGTGGGTCGCATGACATGCCGACGTTCTAAGGTGTGACTATTCATGACGCTTGAAGGTATGTTGTGGCACTGGATGTTGTTGTCGGGTTCAAGGTAGGGACAGGATGGACGTGAGCAAGCGCTGGATTCTTTTTACTTACTCTTCTTGTGTGCATTTTGTCATACTTGCACTTATCTAATCTTCGATTGTGCATTTTTACTTGCATGCTTGCGCACGTGTTTGCTAACTTCCGTGGTAATACAGCTGCTTCGCTTATTTGTTGCTGCTTTGGCAGGTGTCCCAACCTTTCCATGAATCGCGCGTGTCGAAGTGCTTTTGATGTGGCGCCGTTCTGTTTTTTTTAGCCGGATTTTCTGCGAAGTGGTGTGGCTGCACGCATGGCTGCTACAGTATATTGTGATTTATGTGCTCGTGCTGTGTTTTGGAATCCAATGATTCCGTTGAGTCATTTTGCTGCAGGGTTTGGCAGCATTTCCCTTGGTTTGGTCAAAAAAATTGCACTTTTTTGGGCCTTGGCACCAAGATCCGGTGAAACTCAAGTTGTTCGGGTCTGTGCCGGTGGTGCTGTGTTTTTGGCGATAGCTCGGCGCAGTTGCTGTGTCTTTCACGTGCTAGTGCTGTTGTGTTTTGGTATAGCGTGTGTTTCGCATTTTCATGTATTTTCCATTTTTGGCAATTGCATAGCTGAAATCTTTTTTTTCAGCATAATATAGATGAATATAGTAATATATAATTAGTAGTAAATGGATGTAAATGGTGGATGTACTTGGTATTGGATGTACTTTTTGCGGCACATGAAATTTGGGGAACTCAATCCAGTGCTCCACGTCGTTTTTTGTTTCGCCAAGGCGAATTGCTGCACCCGAGGTGACTTTTTATGTGTGCCATTGTGTGCCTGCTGCTAGTAACACGTGTAGTAACCTAGTGGTTGCTCAGCGGAGCCTTGCGTCCATGCTTCTTTTTGGCGATTGCTTGAAATCTTGGTGGCTCGATTTAGCCAAGTTTCAAACATGTTTCCAAAAGGTTTCAACCAAGTCACCGGTTGTTTCAAAGAGATTTCAATCAAGTTGCAAACAAACTTCGAGCAGGCTTCAAACAGGTTCCTGGTTTCAACGAGATTTCAAGCAGGCAGGGGTCCTTGCAAAACAAATAGGTTGGATGAGCCGTTGATGGGGGAAACAACTTGGTTGAACTTGTGTTGGATGACTGTCTTTCGGGTATGCTCTCATCTGTTTTTTCCATTTCTATGTTTTTTCCAAATTCTGTGCAACCCCAGACAGATTCCATCAATTACAACCCCATTTATACACTGATTCCATGACATTTGGGGATCTTCCAATGATTCCATCACAGTCCGTACCCTCTGGTAAACAAACAGTTTGCTATTGAACATGGCCATTTATAGTGGATGTAACCATTGAACATGGTGATTTTCCATAGTTATGTTAGTTTACCAGAGGGGTATATTCATGTATATTCCATCAAGCTGCCAAAGAGGACAAACCCGTCAAATCGAGGCTATCGAGGGCTGGATCTCGACTGCTCCCTGCAGAGCCATCGGCTGGTAACGGCACGAATTGATCAAAGGACAGTGGAGACAGTGGAGAAACTCTATTAAATTCTATTAAGATATGATCTAAATATATCTAAATATATTAAGATATCTATCCATTTTTTTTTCAACATCCAATCAGGTTGATTAGGATCCTTAGGCCGCACGTGGAGCGCAGTGCGGAGCTGACCTTTCTTCAAGATCTTCTTGGAAACCCCTTGGCCGGCTTTGGGATGCTTTGGTGAAGGTGACACAGAAGAAACTGAACAGGATTGGGCCCACTATTTCATCTATTTCAACACGAGTGACTGGAGTTGGCAGGTGCACTTTGATGTGGATTTTGATGGATTTTCTGTAAGATCATGGGCTAGGCATGGTGATCCCCCAAATCTTGCACGAATATGCTGAAGAAGCGACGGGACGGCTCTCCAGCAAAAAGTTGAGCCACAGAGAAGACAAGAATAGATTGGTTGAATAGATTGGTTAACACAAAACCGAATCACAGAATGTCACAAAGAGATTGGTTACGTCTAGTCGAGTCTAGTCACCGAAGGCCTGCCATGGTCTGCTGCTTCAAACCTCTCATCTCAGCATATCTCAGCTCTTGGCCCCTAGGCAAGTGCTTCTGGTTAGCACGGCTTGTGCTGGCGGACGCCATGGCTCTACATCCTGTGGAAATGTTTCGCAAAACCATGTGCCCAAAGCGTGAATCTCTTTAAGCCTTTACGCGCCCTTTCGTGCCTTTACAAGGTTGCAGAAAGCCTCTTTCTCTTTGGCTGTTAAGAAACCGCCTCAATTTGTCATCACGTGCGCCGGCTGCGATTATGTTTGAAGAACAATATATACATATATATATATATATATGTATATATATACACATGCACATACACACACACATATATATATATATAATATTTAAGATTATTTAAGTCTTTCGTCCTTTTGTCACTAATGTATTTGTTTCAGAGCGCTATTTTAGGGAGTGGTGGCTCGAGTAGCTGCAGTTTCTCTGAGCAAAGAAGAAACACAAACAAGAAGGGATAGGGTGCGGGGCAGGCTCATGCAGGCTCCAATGCTGATAACGCTCCCTCTTTGAGGGTTCTGAGCCAAAGCCTCTGAAACCAGCACTGGTGGCACCTGGTGGATCCTGGTGACCTGGTGCACCACTGATATCCCAACTGAAAACATGGACCTTTGAAGATCCGGAATTTAGACGTCTACAAATGCCTACAAATGTCTACAGTATCCATCCGTGTACAAGAAACCTGTGCTGTATCTACTGCAACTTTTGTGATGAACATGATGCAATATACAGTAATATACAGTAATATACAGTAATATACAGTAATATGCAGTATATACACTTATGTATTATTTGATATTATTATAATATATGATACATATTTATATATAATTTGATGGTGTTTACTTGTTTTTGGTTATGTCTTGACATGTCTTGTCCATATCCATAACCCATACGGACCTGGATAATCATAGCATCAAGGGCCGTGCGTGCCCTGCGCCTGGCTCATCGACCTGGGCGACGGCGGTCAATGGCGGGATCTTTTGGTAAGTCTGAGATCTACCAGGCCCTTTTGGTGCATGCACAGCAGATTGTTTTTCAAGATGTCTACGGACCGGCAAGTTTTCCAGCTCCAGCATCTGCAATATTGGTCCAAAGATTCTTCTGTCTTCTTTTCGTTATTGTGGTACCGGACTATTACCGGACTTATTTGCAGCGTTTGCGAGCGTTTGCTCAAGCATAGCTCCAAACATAGCGGCCTGCGGCCCTTTCGGTACTATGCAATGCGTAGAATTTGACAAATCAACCGTCGGTTCCCATTCGTCTGGCCTGGCCACCGGCAAAAAGTCTAAGGACCACCGGGACCACCGGTTGGTCTTGGAAATGGGTAAGACCGTACTCTTTGGCTGACGTGTCCGAGCTCAACTGCTGTGATACGTGACGTAATTCAATGTGTGTGTGTTTGTTTGCTCAGGCTTTCAAATGCACCTGTGCGATTTCACATCGTCCAAAGTCCAAACAAGACTGTATCTGTGGATATTGAAAGAATGAAGCAAGGAGGCCTCAGTAGCTTAGGAAGTCTGCAAACTCTAGCCATCCTATACAATGTCTACGCAACTTATTGCAAACATATGGGATATTATACGTAGGGTTAATTGATGTTAATTGTACGTTATGAAATTGAAGTGTTCTTTGAAGCACACGTATCTCATCGTATCTCATCGTATCTCCTCGTATCTCGGGGGTAGTGATGCAGTAGATCTGCCTTCTTCGGGTGCGTTGAAGTAGACGTCGTCGTCGGAGACACGGAAAACACAGCCGGGCGGATCTGCCCTGGCATGACATGCCAGGACAACATAGGACTCTGCAAAATCATGACAAGTAGAGGCCGTGTAAGCAAAAAACTACTGTATCCCACTAAAACTAACTTACTGTCGTAATGTTACTAATGCCTGCAATATCCTGCAATACTCAAATAGAGCACCCTGATGCGCACAATTAAGACCAGGGTCTCTTGGTAGAGCTCGTCTGTGTAGGCCAACCTGCTTCTTGCAGCGAGACCAAGCAATCATAGACTGAAGGATTCCTGCTGATATCTGCTGATGATGCTGGACTTTGTCCATTACTGTTAACCAGCATCAAGCAACATTGATTGATATTGATTGCACCAACGCAAAGAATCCTGCACCCAAAAAACTTGTCTTGAAAAAAATGAAAAATCATACAGTATACACATTTTTTGAAAAACATGGCTCACAAATGCTCACAGAATTGCCAAACCAGACTCCTGTGCAAGCGAGACACTTCTTCTGCAGCTTCATTGCTGCATCTTGGCACTGGTTTACCTGAAGCACTCTGTGAATAAAACAAATTCAGCAAAACGGGATGGATGTGACACCGTTGAATGCAACTTGATGATATCTTTGATCTCGACTGACCCGAGCTGCAGATTCCAACATCTTGGTCTCTGGTGGGCAACTGGAGGTCGGCTCGTCCAGAAGTTTGTAGGTGGCCTGGAATCTCAACCAGTGCCCACAAGGTACTGTATCCAGTGCTGTCCCATACTGAACCATACTGAAGCATATACCCAGGAAATCACCTAGGCCCCTAGGCACGTAAAAAATGGGAGTGTTACAACATGGAAGCAAGTTCTGTGACACCCAGGTTGCGAAAGACCCCCAAAAAATTCCTTCAATGGACTGGTTTAGACGAACTTCCCCTGCGTTTACACATTGATGATTTAAACAACCATATAGTAAATTCAGTAGTAGGATGCTTGTAAAATCCCAAAAACCACTGTTCCCTTACTATTGGGTGTTTTTGTATCTTGTTCGGCATCATGTTTTCCCAAAAATGCCAACGTTTCCAATTTATTACACTCAAATTCACTCAAGTCTTTTTTAAACACCACCACCACCACCACCACCAACAACAACAACAGACAACAGACAACAAACAACAGACAACAAACAACAGACAACAACAACAACAACAGACAACAGACAACAGACAACAACAACAACAACAAAAACAACAAACAGAACAACGAGAACAACAAAAACAAGAACAAGAACAAGAACAAGAGACAAGAGACAACAGACAACAGACAACAAACAACAGACAACAACAACAACAACAACAACAAACAACAAACAACAAACAACAAACAACAAACAACAAACAACAAACAACAACAACAACAACACCAGCAGCAACAGCAACACCGGCAACACGAGCAACACCAGCAACAAGAGGAACAAGAGGAACAAGAGGAAAAAGAGGAACAGGAGGAACAAGAGGAACAACAACAACAGCAACAACCACTACTACCACTACCACCACTACCACCACCACCACCACCACCACCACGACTACGACGACGACTACTACTACGACGACGACGACGACTACTACTACTACTACGACTACTACTACGACTACGACTACGACGAAGACGACGACGACGACGACTACTACTACTACCACCACCCCCATAACTACAACAGCAACAACAACGACAACAACAGCAACATTTGTTTTAAGCAATTCAGTACCCCATGAACTACCAAACTACTGAATAATAAGAAAATTGGCATGGTACTGAATAGTGTCAAGGACCGTCCTGGGATTTGTTGCAAGTATCGCAAGACAGCACCGCTCCTTCACTAATGTTTCTGCATCTTACCCAGAACCGTTTTCCAAACGTTTTCAAAGAAGAAGAAAGAAACCGAGACAGGAAAACTGGAAGCAAAGGAGGGAAGAAAAACAAACAAATAGCAAGAAAGAACCAAGATAACGAAGGAAAGGAACGAACGCAGGAAATAAAACAAATACTGGAAGGGAGAACGAAGGAGAGAACCAAGCAAACCATAATCCAATGTTAACAAACTCTTCTTCAAGAGGTTCTGGCTCAGCACCCATGAGCCCAGCAAACGAAAATATCGATTCAAATGAAGAAATTAATTTAAAGCCCTTACTTAGATTCCTTATGTTTTTTCCATGCAAGAGTTTTTTTTGGGATTTCCTTTTTGGCTCCCCCTCCATTTGGGGAGGGGATCCACGAATCAGCAGATCATCCAACAATATCGGTTTATATTGACCTCCTAACACCCTAACACACCACAGAAGGAAGTATGACGGAAGTATGATGCCAGCAGATCAACTGTGCAGCATGCCCAAGTTCCCGGCTAGCGGATCAACAGGAGCAAACTCCACTGAGGATTCAATGCCTGGCCCAACTTTCGGCCTCTTCTGTGACCCCATTGCCCCAAGAAAACATGACGCAAATAGCATATATCATTACTATCGTTGATATATCATTGATATAGGCTACTCTAATTTAAAGGTAAACATATGTGCATATGTATAATTGTAAACATGAATGTGCATACAAATCACATAAAGTAACCTAAGCAACTGCGTTTCACATTCGGGCAAATCTTCCAATGTCACTTTGGACACGGCATGACACGACTAGTCCCGTTTTGCAGGGGGTCTGACAAACCACCTCGTCTTATGCCATTGAAGTAAAGGAAGTTCATGCAGACTGTTTGACACATAATAAGACTTCATGATGCTTCATGTTTGCATTTGACACATATGACCCTGCGCCTTTGCCACGCTTCTTCCCAGGCTTGCAAAGCCAAGGCAGATTACCTAGGACATTCTAAGACAGTTCTCAGCTCATTGGGAGATCGAGAGCCTGACATTGATTGATGCGCCGCTACTTGGCTATTGGTACGTTAATGATGCGTCTGCTGCTGCCAAGGGGCAAGGTTTTGAGTCCAAGTCTGGGTGATGCCTTTCAACCATGCACTCTGAAAAAGCGAAAGTGCCGTTTTTTTCCACCGAAGGAACACTAAATGCAGGACGCAGAGCCAATGAATGCGGGGTTTGATCTGCCCATCAAGCACCCATGCCTTGTTTTTGAAATCTAGAGTCGCACACGGATAAAGTCTTTTTAGGTACAAGAATAGACCTCCCGTCATCTTGCGCTGCTTCTAACATTTGTGCCCGCAAATGAGAGGTCGAAAAAGCGCACACCGCTGTAGCGCCAGCACATTCGCAAGTCAAGTGTTAAAAACTGCGGGTCTCGGACCACTTTTGGACGTTGAGATGTCGAAAATTGCACGGCGTTGCGGCGCAATAGAGATAGAAATAGAGATAGACAAAGGGATAGAGAAATAGAGAGATAGGTAGATAGACAGGCAGACAGATAGATAGCTAGAGAGATAGAAGATAGAGAAGATAGAGAAGATAGAGAAGATAGAGAAGATAGAGAGGATAGAGAGGATAGAGAGAAAGAGAAAAACAAAGATACAGAGATTGGGAAAGATTGACAGAGAGACAAATAAATAGACAGAGAACTAGATAGATAGGATAGATGGATAGATGGACAGATGGACAGATGGACAGATGGACAGATGGATAGATGGACAGATGGACAGATGGACAGATGGATAGATGGATAGATTGATGGATGGATGGACAGATGGATAGATAGAGAGAGAGATAGATAGATAGATAGATACATAGATAGATAGATAGATTAGGTAGATAGATAGATAGATAGATAGATAAATAAGAAAGATAGATAGGTAGATAGGTAGATAGGTAGATAGATTGATAGACAAAAAAATAAACAAAATTATAGATAGACAGATAGATAGATAGATAGATAGACAGACAGACAGGCAGATAGATAGATAGAGTTCGAGATAGAGAGAGAGAGAGAGAGACCGAGATAGATCGAGATAGAATGTCAGAGAGATTAAAAACAGATAGACAGGCATACAAAAAAAACGCCAGAGAAACATGGAGAGAGAGAGGGGGAAAGAACGAGAGAGAGAGAGAGAGAGAGACTCAGCCACCTTTCGATCCATCAGTGGGTTCGCTTTGCCATCCATGCGGTACTACTGGTATATTATTATGGTTATTATGGTGATGATAATGATGATGTGATGATGATGATGATGATGATGATGATTATTATTATTATGATGATGATGGTCATGATGATGGTCATGATGATGATGATGATGATGGTGATGGTGATGGTGATGATGAAGTGATGACAGTGAGAATAGTGATGGGGATTATTTATACTGACACTGTATGTTGGCAGCCGCTCTTTTTCAAGGATCCCTTCTTTGGTGCTTTCAGGGAAAAAAAGTCCACAAGATCCACAAGTGACACGTGTGGCATGAGTTTGGTATAGTTTGACCCTGGCCTTTGCAAGAGTTTTTCCGAAAGCTGAAAAGGGATTTCGTTTGTGCATCTGGCCTCAGCGTTTCAGGAAATCCAAAATGTTTCACTCCTTCATTTTGTGGCAACCAAGCCTCACTTTCGCAATCAGGCAACATGAGCCAATATGATCAGTGTGAAATAGTGTGAATTAGTGTGAATAATAGTCGTGAAAACGAGTGCTTGCAGTTTCCTGCATCAGGACGCACCGACTTTAGCAACATGAAAAACCCACAGACTCAAAGTTGGCGTGTGTTTAATCAGATCGTATATGAATATTCGATGCAGCCAATATCCACATTCAAAAGATCTCAAAAGGATTGAATGCGTGGTTGGCAAGTGGTTGCATTTTTTTCATTTGCCAATACCCTCTGGTGAACTAACATAGCAATGGAAAATGGCCATTTATAGTGGATTTTCCCATTAAAAATGGTGATTTTCCATTGCTATGTTAGTTCACCAGAGGGTATGTGCCACGTTTCTGTGTGTCACATCCCCCTTTATCTTCACATATCTGAGCCCCGACAGGTTGTCTGGCCGGGCTTCTGATCCCCAAAGCTCCACATATCGAGTGTAATTATAGCAAACCTGGCAGACGCTTGAAGAATATGGTCCTGAAGTCATCTCATACCTCAGATATGTCAGATATGAAGAAAAACTGTGGAAGATTATGGAAGATGATGGAAGTTGCTAATGGGAATATGATGAATATGAATATGAATGCCCGCTAGTGCTGAAAAAACATAAAGCGCAAATACACTCTCCAAGTCTGGACCAGATGCCCACTCTCCTTGTAAAGTTTTGCATCCTGGCAAGAGCGTGAAAAAGCAACGAAAGCGAACTATAAGTGTGGCATGTGAGGTCGTGAGACACTCAGATCCGTTTTGCGCATGTAGCAATGTCGCAGCATGGCTTTGCTTGAAGACGGCGAAAGTCATGGAAGAGTCGGAAATTAGTGGTGTGCACAGGGATTCGAACGCAGGGTACCAACAAATTGAAACATATAGATTAGGATTGATTACTTTATAGCACCAAAAAAAACACAGTGTGACGGTGTGACGTTTTTTTCTTTATTTGATTCACTTGAAGTGACTTGGGCTTACATGTCGAGCCAAATTTCCCTTGCCGTAGCTTGCCAATTTGCCCCTCCGGCCATGTCACAGGTATGTCGGTATGTCCGGCCTCTTTGGCAAGCTTCAGGTTGTAGGTCGGCTTGCCACCAGGATAGCAGGAGCAATAGTGCTTGAAGCTGGCATCGCGGGCTCCAGTTAAAGGCTGGTCTTTGTCCTTGTCCATCCTTAGACCATCTTAGAATCAGTAAGTCGTAGACATGAACACGGAAAAAAATGGAGAAATTGATGAGATCATAGAAGACCAGGCTATACATGCCACGCAGTCAGTTGTTCATAAGCTCTCATCTTTAGGAAAGCTTCTGGGCCGCATCATCCCATGGCTCAATTTTCCATCCTCGAGCTGCGAAGGCATACCTTGGAAACCATAGATAGAGAAAGGCAAAGACGCAAATGATGCATGCATAATGCACATATACTAGCTAGATTCAAGATAGGTGCTAGAGGGCTTAGCGAGATTTCAAGAATATATGGTACGGTACGGTTGGGAAATGTGTTTTCCCTGGTACGTACGGTTGGTACGGTTGGTTGATACGGTTGGTACGGTTGGTTGGTACGGTTGGTACGCTTAGTAAGGTACGCTTGGTACGCTTACCAACCGTACCGACCTTACCAACCGTACCAATGAACCGTACCACCGTACCGTACCAGATTAAGGGGGGGGTCATGGATGTACCAATACAAAGCGTGCCAACCCTACCGTACCAAGCGTACCAAGCGTACCAAGCGTAGCGTACCCATCTTATAGCTGGATATCAAGCACCTATCTTGAATTTAGCTAACACACACACACTGTGGGGTAATGGCCAGTAAAAGGTGTGAATGATGTCATAGTCTTCGCCTGATTTCCTGAGTTGCCTGGCAGTAGAATTTCAGCGGACACAGATTCACGATCGAAGAAACAACGCACAGCTCATAAACAAGAACAGAAAGTTAACAGTTGAAACTATAGCAGGTACGTAGATCAGGCGTCCCTGATCTATATCCTTACCACATGTCACCCAGCTTCGTTGGCAGAGGAAGTGACATGGGTACCTCTGCCCCCTGCTTTTTAGAATAGTACAAGAGCAATGAAAAGAACTAAAACCGTTTGTTATAACGGTGTACACACACACACATTAGCCCCGAAATGGGGCAAGACCACAAACTTGTTCCAAGATGGACTAATCTGGTCCTCCATATGAGCAGTGTACACAGAACAGATACCAGAGATATCAGCAGCGAAAATAGAAACATGAGGTGTTTCAGAAATGCTCGTCTTTGGTAAACAAATGGCATCTGCAAGTAGGTCTGTCAGTTGGGTGCCACCAACGCAAGTGCAGTCGAAAATTGAAAAGATATGACCCCAGAGTACGACTCTTGATTGAAAAAGGTACCTTGGGTTTGTGGAAAGGAGGAAAATTGACTTGGTGATGTACGATAAAGCCTTTCAGCCAAGACCTCATTTGTGATTCCATTTCATCGTCAAGAATAAGTAATTGTACAGGTACATTAGCAGGTGGAAATTCTGAGTTCCGAAACTGCAAAATGAGCTTGAGTTGCTGCTGAGCTCTTGACCGAAAAGGTTCCGTCAAATTTCGACTCAATCTGCATAGTAAAAATATGTAGTCATGTTCAGCTTGAGATGATCTCAATAATTTCGAACATTCAAATTTCATCAGTGTATCAGATCCCAACATGTAAAGAAGTCGAAAAATACACAAATGATTGTCAAGATTGCTGCTCAAATACGAAAACAATGTTGGGCTCGTGTGCGTTTCTTGTATCGTCGTACCAATCTACGTCCAAATGCCACTGTTGGTTTAACCGATGTGAAACCAAAACGTGTCTTTCCAATTCGCCAACGTTTCAATAGAGGGTTGATCCAAGGCCAATTGCAAATAGGCCGCAATGTTTGTTGTAAAGCTTGTTCCAGGCTCAAGCGATGTTCAGCGTCCCCACGTTGAGAACGAACAGGAAAAAAAAATGCAAAATTGGTAGAAATTGTCTCGTTTACACCATAGTTTGATGGCAGGTTCAAAGAAAGCCAACTGTTGCGACACATGTTGTTTGTATTTGTGTGTGCGAGATTTCTCTCGCAGAAAAACCGTAGTTTCCGTGCTCCCAATATAGAATTCTCCAATCCAATGTAATCGCATATACACCACGTTTGTTTGTGACCACCACTCAAACGTCCAGTACTGAGGCAGGTGCAGGACGCGAAAAATGCTGAGGATCCGACGCTGAGTTTGATTATATGCCAATAAAAGCAATGAAGTAGCTGTCCATTGACTCAAAATCCACATCAAAAGTTGTTGGAGATTCCAAGGTAGGTTGTTCGAAAATTGAAGGAGACGTGCAATCCACTGTCATCCATTCAGTAACAAACAGTCGTCTACAGTAGGACCGAGGCCCCGAAATGGGGCAAACCGCAGAAAAGCCTATGATTGCCTGGTGAATCTGAAAATCTCCTGATGAGCTCTATTGTCAACATGGGATAAACCTGGAAAAACTTGTACTCTTTAGTTAATGCAACAGCCGAACATAAGATAGGCGCCCATTGTGAGCCCATAGACGCATCACGATGTTGACGAAAAACTTGGGTCCCGACGTGGAAGAACGAGTTCTGAAGTAAGAATTTTATCAAATCCCGAATATGAGCCAGTTTTTCTCGAAACTGCTTACTCTGAGACCGCCAATGACTCTGAAAAATGCGTAGTGTGCGTTCCAACTTATGATTGTGTGTCTGTATAGATGATTCCAAAGATACTCACTGCAGAGCAAAGAAACGATGAAATGCGAAATCAACAGCTTGAAGGATTCGATCATGTTCCACTTGATTGTAGAAGCCAACGACGTCAGATTGATGGATTTCAAATGTCCGTTCATCAGTAGCAATGACTTGAAACATCAAACGAATTTGTTCAAGTACGGCGTGTACATCCTGAAATTTCAAAAGGTCAGAAAAAACAATGTTGAGTATTTCCAATAATGCAATACCAATGGCTTGGCTCAACTTCCGCGGCCACGATGTGCTATAGTTGATAATGGGTCTAGCCTTTTTGAACAACCCGAGTTTCGCACTGAAATCCAAGCTCCACGCGTAATGTCGAAAAATCCACTCAGGTACTGAATTGCAAATCTGTTGTACAGTCTGTACTGGAGTAGCTTTACAGGGAGTAAATACCTTGTCATCCAAAAATGTCCGAAACAGCAACTAATGCCATTGACAAGGACGATGAGTGCATAACGAATGAGCAAAACTTACCTGATGATGTACGATAAAGCCTTTCAACCAAGACCTCATTTGTGATTCCATCATTTGTGATTCCATCTCATCGTCAAGAATGAGTAATCGCACAAGTACATTGGCAAGTGGAAAATCTGCGTTCCGGAACTGCAGTTGTTGCTGAGCTCTTGACCAGAAAGGTTCCGACAAGTTTCGACTCAACATGCATAACAAGAATATGTAGTCATGATCAGCTTGAGATGATCGCAATAATTTCGAACATTCAAATTTCATCTCCAGTCCAGTGTCATCGCATATGCACAGCATTTATTTACAATGAAAACAGTGCACAAACCTGATGGACAAAATGAGCAAAAAGAAGACCATGGCAACGAAAGCAAAACGTAGCGGGTTCAATACACATGAATTGAATTTCTATATATGCAGAGTGTCCAGATGACAAACTTCAACGACGCAGCAAAGAGGAAAATTGCTATGGAAAGTTAGCTAGATCAAAGCATGAAAATGCACGACAAGACTACAGCGACAGTTTTTGAATCCAAGATTTCATCTGCAAATTATGGTGAGACCCATGCATGAGAAAGTGAAACTGATAAGCAAAGAGAAATCATGCACATAGAGTTTACAGAAAGGCAGCAATTCCAAAAACCTGACAGAGGTGAGAACGAAAGGACCACCTCTTATCTCTATGACTATGAATACAGTCAAAGAATTGCAATCCGCCATGGTCCGAGACCGTTCCACCGACACTGATGGTAAGATGATGGGACTGACGACTTCGCGCCTTTCCGTACATACAAAACGGTCTGAAAGAATCCTTATAATGACTATACTTACTAGCTTTTCGAAATGCCTCAATTTGTGCTGCAAGGTATGCCGCCGAAGAGTGATCACGACATATTTCGGCGCAACAATAAAAGCCAGAAGTAAAAAGCCAATCCGGGTATTGTGTAGCACTAGGGCGAATGACACCTTCTCGAAGAATTTCTGCAGCAGTAAGTCGCGCACAATTGTGAGCAAAAGCGTAACCGGATTTAAAATCAATGTCCACATGTTCAATTTGAGGAATATTCATATGCAATTTGATTCCCAGCAATTTCCCATTGTGACTGATCAATGACACGTCCTGGAAATGTTCAGCAACGGAACTATGGGAACAAATCGCACAACTAAGGTGCACGCATAATTGACGCAAAGGTGTTGTCATTTCAATTTGACTCAATGTCTGTTGCAGAAAGATTGCAAAAGATTCAGAAATTGTTGTCAGCCGATTTTCCGGAGTATATCCAGCCGTTTGAAAATATCGATCATTCAGAATGTATCGCTGTTGATACTCCTGAATGCGGTTCAATTCCAAAGCATTCTTCAGTCTGTTGTGCGAATCATGAAGATCTTTGGCTAAACGTTTTAACATCAACGTGTAAACCTGATTCCAATCAGTATCTGTCGGGGTGGCCATGTTCTCTTCCAAAGAAGTGCAGGAAAAACTGGCTACGACAGAATGCACAAACAGTTGAGAAAACATTGGATGAGGAACTTCCAAAATGGTTTCCCCAGCAATGAAAAAGGAGATCAAAGTTGCTGGAAGTTTCGAATTATGGAAATAAGTACTTTGAACAGGAACACCATCATAATCATGCTGTCGAACGGCAGAACTCAACTGAGCCCCTGCAGAAGTTGGCGATGTCGATCGTAGTTGAGAACTATAGGGCCCCGACTGGTTGTCCACTGTCTGCCTTCTCCGCGTAGGCATTGAATCACATTGATTGGGTCCCGGGCCAGAAATTGAGTGTCCGACCGTAGACGAAGTTCCCACCCGAAAAGTGCAGGGTTCCGGACCAGAAACATCCGTTTGTGGACCCCGACATGGTTGGTACACAGATAAACAGGAACATGGTGAGTTCATCAGTGTTGGATTTACCGTCATCATCATTTGTTGAAAATTCTACATATTTTGTTGCATTTCAGCCTGTCGTTCAGCATCGAAAATCTGACCCATAATAGGAACTAGCTGATCAGATGTAGCAGCTTCTACGCGGTATTGTCCAAATCGTCCAACAATGTTCAGCGACACCCCCGATGTTTTTGGAAAAGCTGATGATCCTCTCTCTTGAATATTCTGAACATTTGCAACAGGATGATGAGGAGGAGGAGGCAAAGGTGTAGATCGAACTGGGATCTGTCCAGTAGAAAATGCTTCAGAAGACGGCAAGGGTGGACCACGACTCTTAGCAAAACTGGCACCAATGAGAGTCGAAATTTGAAAATTGAAAAATTGAACAATGAAGGTATCCTTATGAGTTGAAACACAAAAGATGGCTGAGAGTCGGACCAAAAAGGGACCAAAAGCACTTGAATTGCACCCGTGGTGCTGGTAACTTCGACTTATGTCTGCTTTGTCCGAACTGGACGAAGACTTCTGCCTTATGGCTACTTCGCCTTATGGCTGCTTCGATTGGATTTTACAGTGTAAAATCTTGACTCCGTCATATGACGCTTGAAATGCACTCGAAGTGCATACGGCGTCGGAGATTCATACTCCACTCGGAATACGGGAAAATGCCCGCTCATGACTTTTTGATTGGTCGAAACCAACCGACGGTGCGACCAAGTTAGGTCAAACACCCAGGACACACTGTGGGGTAATGGCCAGTAAAAGGTGTGAATGATGTCATAGTCTTCGCCTGATTTCCTGAGTTGCCTGGCAGTAGAATTTCAGCGGACACAGATTCACGATCGAAGAAACAACGCACAGCTCATAAACAAGAACAGAAAGTTAACAGTTGAAACTATAGCAGGTACGTAGATCAGGCGTCCCTGATCTATATCCTTACCACATGTCACCCAGCTTCGTTGGCAGAGGAAGTGACATGGGTACCTCTGCCCCCTGCTTTTTAGAATAGTACAAGAGCAATGAAAAGAACTAAATCCGTTTGTTATAACGGTGTACACACACACACGCACACACACGCACGCGCACGCACGCACACACACACATGTACTATAATACATGTATATATATATTATATATAATAACACACATATATATATATGTGTTTGTGTGTGTGGTCATGAAGTATATGATGAACATTTATGTCATTTATAGTTTTAATGTAAACAATGAGGTTTTATATCTTTATACCTCTTGAAAACATCGTTCCGAAGGTTGGGCTACTCATCTCAATGTCAATCGCAAGGTCAGCATGCCCTGGAAATCCCTGGAATGCACAACCCCCACATGGCGTCATCACAGAAATCACCTCTCAAGTCAGACGAAAACACATGGTTGGGGATATCTATGGTATATCTATGGTATATCTATGGTATATCTATGGGGTTTGCAGGAATTGTTCTATCCTGAAACAGTGCCAAGAGTTCAAACACGCTCAAAACATCTCAAAACGCGCAATTTCATGCAATTGCAAGCTTCTGCAGCGCAAAGTCGGAAGAAAAGATTTCTTTGCTCAACTTCTCACCTGTGATGATTTGATCAGAAACGATGAACTTGGGGGCTTCTGTATCTGTTGAAACTGAAACTTTAAAATCTTTACACTAGCTCTTTCAGCACAGTTCAATGAGGAACCTGCAAATGAGGTTGGAAACATGGCAGCTGGTCACCAAGGTGAGGCAGTCATGAACTTCCACACGTCACGAGTCAAGAACAGCCCAAGGGCCCAACCTAAGTAGTTCCAGTCCAGCTTCATCATGTTGTCATCCGACAGGGCGTCCTCAAAGCACATCACCATCACCACTTCCACGGCAGGAATTTGTTCGGAATTAGCTCTGCATATGCTCTGCATGTCTGGTAGAATACATGATTTCCATACACTTCTGGTAGGAAAAGATGGGAAAAAATCAGAAAAATCATGAACAATCTCACTCTGTGCCAGGTCGGTTAGCCTCAGCCTCCCTGGACTTTGCAAGTGGTTTTCTGCTTCCGAGCATCAAGGATGGCCTCACGTTTGAAATAGGCTCCGCCACAAAGCCCTGATGACATGCTTCGCCTGGGACCCACAGTTTGACCATGATCTACGAAAGGATCCGTATATCATTGTATATCGCATATATAAATGCATAATCATCTAATCTATCTATCTATCTGTCCGTCTGTCTGTCTGTCTGTCTATCCATCCATCCATCTATCCATCTATCCATCTGTCCATCTATCCATCTAATCCATCCATCTAATCTATCCATCAAATCTATCCATCAAATCTATCCATCTAATCTATCCTATCTATCCTACCTATCCTATCTATCCATCTATCCATCCTATCTATCTATCCTATCTATCCTACCTATCCTACCTATCCTACCTCTCCTATCTATCCTATCTATCCTATCCATCATCCTCTCTATCCTATCTATCCTACCTATCCTATCTATCCTATCTATCCTATATATCCTATCTATCCTATCTATCCTATCTATCCTATCTATCCTATCTATCCATCCTATCTATCTACCCTATCTCGCCTACCTATCCTGTCTATCCTGTCTATCCTACCTATCCTACCTATCCTACCTATCCTATCTATCCTATCTATCCTATCCATCATCCTCTCTATCCTCTCTATCCTCTCTATCCTATATATCCTATCTATCCTATCTATCCTATCTATCCTATCCAGCCTACCTATCCTACCTATCCTACCTATCCGATCTATCCTCTCTATCCTCTCTATCCTATCTATCAAATCGATCTAATCGATCTAATGTATCTAATGAATCTAATGTATCTAATCTATCCATCTATCAAATCTATCAAATCTATCCGATCTATCCTATCTATCCGATCTATCCTGTCCTATCTATCTATCTATCTACCTACCTATCTATCTATCTGTCAATCCTTCGATCTTCGATCTATCGATCGATTGATCTATCGATCCATCTATCGATCGATCTATCTATCGATCTATCTATCCTATCTATCCTATCTATCCTACCTATCCTATCTATCCTATATATCCTATCTATCCTATCTATCCTATCCTATCTATCCTATCCATCCTATCTATCTACCCTATATCCTACCTTTCCGATCTATCCTATCTATCCTATCTACAGTATCCTCTCTATCCTATCTATCCTATCTATCAAATCGATCTAATCGATCTAATCTATCTAATGTATCTACTGAATCTACTGAATCTACTGAATCTAATCTATCTAATCTATCTAATCTATCTATTATATCTATTCTATCTATCTATTCTATTCTAGTCTATTCTATTCTATTCTATCCATCTATCTATCAAATCTATCAAATCTATCCTATCTATCCTATCTATCCTATCTATCCTATCTATCTTTCTATCTATCTATATATCCATCTATCGGTCGATCGGTCGATCGATTGATCGATCTATCGATCTATCTATCCTTCCTATCCTTCCTATCCTTCCTGTCCTTCCTATCTATCCTATCTATCCTGTCTATCCTTTCATATCCTTTCTATCCTATCTATCCTATCCTATCGTATCCTATCCTATCCTATCGTATCCTATCCTATCCTATCGTATCCTATCCTATCGTATCCTATGTATCTATCGATCGATCGATCGATCTATCGATCTATCGATCGATCTATCGATCTATCGATCTATCCATCTATCGGTCGATCGGTCGATCGATCGATCTTTCTATCTGTATCTATCCTTCATATCCTTCATATCCTTCCTATCCTTCCTATCCTTCCTATCCTTCCTATCCTTCCTATCCTTCCTATCCTTCCTATCCTTCCTATCTATCCTATCTATCCTATCTATCCTATCTATCCTGTCTATCCTATCTATATCTATCTATCCTATCTATCCTATCCTATCGTATCCTTTCTATCTATCTATCTATCCATCTATCTATCTACCTATCTACCTACCTATCTACCTATCTACCTATCTACCTATCTACCTATCTATCTATCGAGCTACCGATCTATCGATCTATCGATCTATCGATCTATCTATCTATCTATGCGGTATATACCAAAGGATCCACCACAAAGGCAGCACACAGTTCGTGAGTTTCAAATTCTGCAGGATCCAGGCAACCGCACGAAGACCATTTGAAGCCAGGAACACGCTTCTGAGCCATTTTTTCCTGAGCAGAAGGCTTTTGGACATACTCCGTCCGCGCCAAACAAGTGCTCTCAGTGTTTCACATTGATACTGTACAGTGGAAATTTTAACCCTCGCTTCAATACAGACTCACACTGTAAACGTATATCACCGGGAACTGTTTTCCAGTGTCCAAACCATCGACAAGTTTGGGAATGAACAAACGATGTATTCATGAAGATTGCAGAGCTCTTTTTATCGTCCTGCCTCAAACGCCACAAATTGCACTAGTGGTCTGAGTCTGCAGCAACATACTTCACCAATCCAAATGACCGTCCCGTCCTTGATGCCACAGACGTGCACCAAAAGTGTGCAAAGTCTTGTGCACCCTGACATTCAAATTAAATTCTTGGCATGACTCATCTTCAAACGTATGGAAAGTGCCAGTGCGGAGTGTCTGCCTCTGACTTTGAAGCCGAGCCAGCAAGGATGACAATAATTCACACTTCCCTTGCAGCTTAATTAGCTAGCAGCTCAATCCACGGCTTATTGCGCACAAGTAACACAAGCAGACCGCCCACGTCCGCTGGTGGTGGACGTTTAATGTAGTCGTGCCTGACGTGAGGCAACGTCATGAGCGCAGGAAACCAACGAACTACATAACATAGTCAAGCATCGGACTAAATAACTTTGCCATATGCTGTACTTTGCCAAGTGCGGCAAACTGCAAAACGTGGCAAAAACCCACTTCTTAATCTTCGAATTCGGATGAAAACAGAGCGAGGTGATCCATTATGATTCCAAGGGGCACGGTATTGTCCGGTTCCAACATGATGACGTACTTGGTGTTGAGGCCTTGTAATGATCCGCAAACCAAGGTGCTTTTGGGAAGGAATACAGCGTATGTATATATATATAATATGTAAGAATATCTGAATATCACATCTTTGGGCACAACGTTGCTGCATATCGCAACTATCCGAAATTGCTGCAATGCTCACACAATCTCCCAAAGATCAATGGGTGATCAAACTGGTTCATTGAACATCGTCACGTGTTGCCTTGCCAAAAAGAAGGGCGTAAGCCCTTTTTTATCTTTCCAGGAATCAGCTTGACTTAAAAAATTGGGTGATCTTCGATGATTTCCTGCCACTCCACTGGATGTTGAAACCTGTGAAAACGTTCATGATACAGGCAAAACCACCAATAAAGTTGATTTGCTGACAGCTGCATCGAATAATCGTCTGAAGAAAGGCCATGGATGCCAGCGATCGTTCCTCAGGTTCGGACGAGTAATCAACACTGCAGAATCATTGATATCAAATGATACCAAATCCAATTACCCTTGATCAATGGAGCCCACTACATACTATACAAATCTATAATTACCAGGTGATCAAGTTGTTCAAACGCTGATGCTTTCAATCTTCCATGTTGCTGCCACATCCAGCGAGTGCGACTGAGAACAGCCGATCACCGTTTGCAGGTTGAGATCGGCATGTGCGTTTGTGATTGTTTCTGCGTATGTGTGCGTATGCTATTGCATCATATTGCATCATATTGCATCATATTGCATCATATTGCATCATATTGCATCATATTGAAGATACTCATCCAAGTCCCTGATTCTATGGCCGCTCTTTTCACAAATTCAAAACCCAGGTGCGCTGGTGGGCACAACACAAAAGTGCAGCCCTCCTGGCAGCGAGTCGTGTTGCGAGGTTGGTGAGGATAGAGAGGGAGGATGTCGACCATTTGTGAGGGATGTCAGGGTCACCTGTTTTACCCTCTGGTAATTTAACATAGCTATTGAAAATGGCCATTTATAGTGAGTTTTCCCATTAAAAATGGTGATTTTCCATAGTTATGTTAAATTACCAGAGGGTACTTGCTGCAACCCTGAGTTGCGTGTTGTGTCAACGCGACGCGTAAAAAAATGACAACGGTGACGATCGTCTCATTGGTTTTTGGGATTTTCGAAAGTGATCATGTTGGCAGACCTTCGCACACAATGCGCTGAAGTCTAGGCCGCCATCGCTCATCACGTAGATCCTGAACGCTGGACGCATGGACGCATGGCTAAAAATACTTTGGTTTCCTGCTTTGTACCATACCGCCCCGATCAGCAAAGACATGGCAAAACAAGATACAAACACTCTGTCCATCTGTCTAGGTAACTTCGCTAATCTTAGATATTCATCCAAATGCAGTATCTGCTTCAAGGGGCGGTGACATTGGGAAGAACTTCTTGACCTCTCGCACCTCTGATCGAGTTGCCGCTGACTTAAAACGTGAACATGGGTGAACATGTTGGATCATGTTGTTGGGGGTAGGGATGTTGGATGATATTGGATAGAAATGTGTCAATCTGTGCATATCTGGAAGCTTCAACAGTCAACAAATTGTAAACTGAATGAGAAAAAAACATGAAGAACCCTCTTGAAGGGGTCGGCTGAAATTTCAATCCAGTTTTGCCTGAAATTCGGTGTGATTTTTTTTTTAAGATTTGAGGTTCAAATCCGGGAAGACTCAAAGCTGGAGACATACTGGCACATGTTGGAGCATTCATGTGTGGACTGAGAAAAAAGATCTTAGAACGCTGCCACTTTGTCAATGCATGGGGAAAAAACAGTTCCCAAAATTGTTGCAAACAGTGTGTTGTTTGAATTATATGGTTGGAAACCCAATAATTAACAGAACTAGTCGCAGCTAGCTATTCCAGACTCCTGTCACCAAAATCAAGCAAATACATTTTGAAATTGTGTCATTACGTTTCCAACAGTGGTGATTGCCAGAGGGTTTGGGTAGAGTGCTATGTTCTTCCAAAATGTCTTGGAGTCTTGGAGTCTTGCAACCCTTTTCCACACCATTCATTTCAATTGATACCAATCTTGATACCCTCTGGTAAACATACAAAAAACTATGGAAAGATCCACCCATTTTCAATGGGAAAATCCACTATTTCGACTGGGTCATTTTCAATAGCCAACTGTTGACATAACCAGAGGGTAAACCCCACAAGTTTGGCCAAAAGTGTCTAGGGCTATTGAAGGGAGCGATGGAGCCAATATGTATGGCCCAGCGTTTGGGTCCCCCCCTCCCAGAGATGGTGACGGTCCCTATATCTATATGTAAGTTATGTGTATTTACATTTAAATATATATGTGTATTATACTTGTAAGTTCATCATGTAAGTTATATATGTGTAAGTCTATATATACATATATATATATATATACATGGTGTATACGTATGTAGTATGTGTATGTGCAAATGTAAACAGTATGTAAAAGTATGTGTAATTATATGTGTATATATATGTATAAATTATATGTCTACGTATCCCTCCCCCCGCTGTGGATGTGGTGGGGTGGGGTGGGGTGGAGGGGTGGGAGGGTTGGGGGGGTACTCCCCCATACCATATGGGGTGGGGGGGCCGTGAACACGAGACGCGGGACTATATGTATGTGTATGTATGTATGTATGGATGGATGTATGGATGTATGTATGTATGGATGGATGAATGGATGGATGGATGGATGTATGTATGTATGTATGTATGTGTGTATGTGTGTATGTGTGTATGTGTGTATCTGTGTATGTGTGTATGTGTGTATGCGTGTATGCGTGTATGCGTGTATGCGTGTATGCGTGTATGCGTGTATGCGTGTATGCGTGTATGCGTGTATGCGTGTATGTCTGTATGTCTGTATGTCTGTATGTCTGTATGTCTGTATGTCTGTATGTATGTATGTATGTATGTATGAATGTATGTATGTATGTGTTTAGATCAAGAAACGCAAATTCACAGTCGAGTCAAGGTATGTCCTTAGAAAGAAAAACCAAAAACATCGCCTCAACTTGCCTCAACCCTAAGATCGGGTCATTTTTTGCAGCGATGTTTTTGAACAATCCCCAAGGGCCCCCTACGGAAACAAACAAATTTCAAGGGGCCGCAAGGAAATTCACGACTGCGAATTCTGGCGAACGCAACTGTTTGGTTGGAACTTCCGTGCACTTCGCATTTCCCACAGGCGCAAACATTCTACAAGTAGTAAACGTACGACCTGTGCACCGGCATGAAACCCAACACCCCACACCAGGCCCTGGCCAAGAGGAAGCAAACAGTTTACCCAGGCATTGCGGTTGTGACAGGCTACTGACATGACGGCCAGAAAACTGCTAAGCATGATTCCGCTACAATCCTAATTGTTCTGGGGCAAAACTAGGAACATGGTCTTTATTTGCCCGTGGCTTATCTTAACATGTGTGGCGTTTCAGATTTTGTTCGAACCACGACTTCCAGGGTGATTTCATTTCTTTGAGGCGTGATGTAATGTATCAACGCAGTTCCATGGGGAAAAGATCTTTCAACTCGTAATTCGAAGGTGCTCTCTACGTAAAAGCATTGATTTGGGGACCCCCCAAATACTTTCGAAACGAACATATACGTCAGTTTTTCTTGCTTCT